TTTTTACTTTTAAGAGTAGATTTAATTGTGGGTACTTTTACTTTAACTCGAGTACATTTCTAATGAAAAAACTGTACTTTTACTTCGTTACGTTGGGCGACGTTCCTCTCGTTACTTTATTTTAATGCAATATGTTGTTAAAAGCATAGTTTATTCTAAGCGCGCGCTCTCTCTTTTTTCTGGGCATGAGCGATGCTCAATTCACAATTGAATCACTCTTTTGAGTCGATTCTGTTCAAAGACTTCATCAAACAAGTTGGGCCGATCTGTCTAAATCGGTTCGCGAATCAGTTTGAATGATCTGTTCAGTTTTCTGCAAGCACTGAATCGTCTCGGAGTCGTAACAGGAAGATTTAAGAACATCAAGAGCGTTGTATGAAGTGGCGGTCCACAGTCTACAGTACAGTCTAGAAAGTAAATCTGCAAATGCATCATATTTTTTTGGCAGCGATGAAGATCTTTATTAGTTGAACTTCTTCGTATGTTACTTCGTAAGCTGTCTGTGAATTAATTATTCCACACGACGATACATTCGATTTCATTCGGGTAATACATTTTACAACCAAACAGATTATTACGCCATATAGCACTACTACAAAGTATGACATTACCCTTTATTTTTTGGAAATATACATTACTTTATAGTTATACATTAAATAAGCTATCATCGTCCAGTTTATGAATGTTTGTACACACAATGTGTGTATTGCGCAGTGGCGTGCGAACTCGACTTGAAAACGAATGCCTTTGCCTGCCTTATTAGACTCAGTTAACCAGTTTAAAGATGCTTTCATAAATATAGCCTACATTTAAATACATTTTGGAGAACAGACAGAAGAAGATCCGTGCATTTGATCGTTGTTTGTGTTGGGCATGACATGACTGCGAGCACATGTGAAGAGTTTTAACTCTTTCTAATCTGTGTCAATGGTTCCCACCCCTTTACATATGAATGCAAAACTCCATAGAGTCACTTTATTCCGACATTGTCTAATAATCCAAATGTAGTTGGACAGGCAATGGTTTTCAGGCTACAGATATAATATACAGATATACAGAAATAATGTTTGTCTCTTCTGTTTTTGTTGCAAAGATAGCTTATCTAATTATGATAATAATAGTCATTTAAATGAAAAAAATATCTAAGTAATATCATGTTATATACAGTATATATATATATATATATATAGGCCTATGTGATCCAAAGTAACTAGTAACTAACTACTTGAGTAGTTTTTTCATTGGATACTTTTTTACTCTTACTCAAGTAACTTTTAAGATTATTACTTTTACTTTTAATTTGAGTAAATATTTCGATAAGTACTTGTACTTTTACTTGAGTACAGTTTTTGGATACTCTACCCACCTCTGCACTGCGGACTCGTGAACGCGGCTTGACAACAGAACCGGGAGAGAATACAATGCTGAATAAAGTCGTAGTTTTTGTTATTTTTGGACCAAAATGTATTTTCAATGCTTCAAAAAATTCTAACTAACCCACTGATGTCACATGGACTACTTTGATGATGTCTTTATTTCCTTTCTGGACAAGGACATTGTATACATTTTTAATGGAGGGACAGAAAACTCTTGGACTAAATCTAAAATATCTTAAACTGTGTTCCGAAAATGAACGGAGGTCTTACGGGCTTGGAACGACATGAGGGTGAGTCATTATTAATGACATAATTTTCATTTTTGAGTGAACTAACCCTTTAATGATGCACGGATATCATTAAAACCTTTTCATTTATGGAGTCAGATGAAATAACGAGAAAATACATATGAGAAAATGTATTGCATTTAACCCACAATACTTTGCCATGAGAAAAGACGGAACACGCGAGAAACCTTCCCCGTATAATTGGATACCCTCATTGGACCAATATAGACGGGCTTACAGTGTCATGTCTATTGAGTTGGCTCGCACAATTTGTTTTCATGCATCAGAACTTCCGTTAAGGGAGCACTGTGAGCATTGATGCTCCCTTGTTTTCACGGTGCATTGTGGGACTTTTTTAGGGAGCAAAAGTTTAAGTGCCTAGACTACTGAACTAGGGAGCTGATTGAAACGCACCCCTAGAAATTTTCCCATCATGACATTTCTTTGTTTTAAAATGTTAATAATGTGAAAGCTTTATTTATCTTCAGGTTTAAATAAGAAAACCTCAAATTTTCAGTATGGTTTAAGACCCTGCTATGTTTTAGCAATCGACAATATGAAAGTTAATAATCAGTGAATTGCATATTGCATTTTCAAGATTTACCTTTGTTGAGTATTAAGTAGTTGTGTACTCTTCATTGTGGCCAATGGATCAGTTTTATTTCCGATATTCTTAGCACTTATTCTCAATGAACGTCTCAAAGAAGGTCCAGGCTCCAGGTGAGAAGCATCAGAGTTGCTGCCATGTGTGGGAATGGGACTCACCACTAGGGGGCAGAAGTTACATAAGAATTAGTCACAAATCAGGGGTATTAACTGCTTATCGAATCACCGAAACCATGAAACAGGGTGGATTAGTTGCGTAGCTGACAGTCAACTCGTTTTAAAATGATCTATATAGTTACCAATATTGTATTCTTTATTTGCAAGGCACTAAATACTTTTTTGGGTCTTATGGAACTTGTTTAAAGTTCACTTTTTCAGTCGTTGAACATCAACTGGGTTACCTTCACTGTTTTCCCTTTCTGGAGAACTTTCTTCTTCATTAAGAACAGCTTGAACTCTGATAAACACAGAAAAAAAAGATCAAATTATTATTCTGTGAATTTTACAGTTGAGTGTGTATTTTTACAAGTCTAAAAAAAAGGTGTACAAACCTTACAAGATTTGCTGGTTGAACCATGGTGCCATTTGTCTGCTCATTATAAAATAAAATAAAAAGAATTCAACACATAATGTAAATACAATTGCAGTGGTGCAGATTCGATTAGGATAGTATAATGTAATCTAACCTGTTCTGTTGTAAATGTCTTTCTGCTCTGTCTGGTGTAACACTGCAGGCCAATCTGAGGAGAAATCTCTGTAAACCAAAGAGATTAACGTTACTTTAACTTCAGCCTCAAGTGTACAGTTGTTGGTAGTGTAATTAGTGGTGCTTCGAGTCAATGATTTCAGTGACTCAAATATTTTGAATCGGGACAGCACAATATAGATAACGTTAGTGCTATGTCTAATATGATAAAAACACTCTCGCATCATGGTTAAGTTTTGCAAGGGTAAAAAGCACCACTAAAATTTCTTCAGAAAATGTATAAATTTGGTTTAAAACTATGATATTTACAGTATCAAAATGGAAAATGACATTTCTCAAGAAACGAGCTCGATTAACATTACGTTAAGTTACATGATCATACCTTCACTCAGGGCTCTAGGAGAGACGACGATGGGGGACGATAACTGATATCCTGTCAACATTAACCTGCAATAAAATATGAATCAGTTTTACCATTGCAAATCTCGAATTTTCGCTACATTTTCTGGTCAAAATATAGAATTGGAGGCGTTAGACGTAAATCAGATGACCTGCTGAGGTAAAAGCTCTCGTCTACTTCACCACTGTCGTCATCGGTCGCGATGGTCTCATCCTGGTTTAAATCCATATTTGTTTGCATTAAACAATACGACACATGGCGCTTAATAAAATAGTAACGTCTGAGCTATTTAGGAATATTCGGCAAAGATTTCTATCAAGGTTTGTTATAATTTCTGTTGTTGTTTGGCGCCAAATTGGGTGATTCAATTTCTCCTTTAATCTGATTGGTCAAAATCAAGATCCGATCGAGGTGAGCTCTTTAATGTTTTTTCTTTTTTCTTTTAATATTTAAAAATAAAATAAATTATACAGTCTATGGTTTGAACAAAATACACCTGAAAAATAATGTTGAAATTTATAAAGAGATTAGAAATCATACGTAACTCAGCCAAAGTCAAAATCCAGGCAAACTTGGTTTAGTTCTGAGAAGAATCAAGAATTTATTATGTAATGGGACCTGGTTCTAAAGTCCAGCAGCAACGTGTGTCAATACACTCACACACACTCATCTTTATATAAAAGAATCCAGAGATCTAAAATTATCTTTATACAACAATATACAAGGCAATTTTAATACATAAAAATGAGTAAGTATTTGCCTGCCAAACTACTATAGCTAAGAAGAACTTACATAAACCTTTTGTGGAATATTTGCACATTTAAATGTAAACAAACACTACATTTTATATTAACTCCATGGTTCATCTTCATATGGCTTATTTTATTTTGTCAAAAGTTCTGGAATGTACGTTTCATGAAACAGAACTAGATAATCAGATAATTGTTATTGATAAAAAAGGTTAACCAAGATTAATTGAGAGTGTGATTACAAAATCCAATGATATTGTATTTCATTTCAAGGTCGGATATTTTCATATCTCGATATTTTTAAAGGTCAAGGCTGCGCCAAGGTTCACACACACACACACACACACACACACACACACAAACACAAACACACACACAGTCTGGTTCGCTATCTTTTTCTCCATAGACATAATGGTTTTTATACTGTACAAACTGTCTATTCCCTAACCCAAACCCTACCCCTAAATCTACCCATCACAGTAAACTTTCAGCAAAAACATATAATTTAGTAGGCCTATGTCTATTAACCCATTTCCCTCGTGTGGACCGCTGGCTGGTATGTATGTGATCTCAGGTTTTACTATCCTTGTGGGGATATTTGTCCCCACAATGTAATATAACCACACACACACACACACACACACACACACACACACACACACACACACACACACACACACACACACACACACGCATTCAAATGATGGCCAGATCACGCGTTCTCAGTCAGGACACGCCTTCAAACACAGTTCACTGGATGAATTGGGTGTGGTTTTCTCGCGTATCGGTATGGTTCGACGATTTGATTGGCTCCTCACTCGGCTGACGCAGAGCCATGCCATCGCTTCATATAAGCCTAGAGGAGGATGCCGGTGTTAGCGACTAGAGTGCTGTCTCAAACTACGGGATATGGATTACTATCGTCTGTATTTATTTATCTCGGCCGCTCTGATTATGAAAACCACCGCTAAATGTTAATTTGTAACAGTGGAAATATCTATAGTCTTTTATTTATTTAATCGCATATGTGGAGGATTTGACAGTGATCTGCTCTTGGTGTAGGCTACTTATTCTTTAACCCTCATTGACCCTCACTGGTAAGTACCTGCATCGAGATCTACAGCCATAGCTTTTATTTTACAAATTAATATACCATGTCATCCATGATTCGAATGTCAATTTCCTTCAGTTCGTTTCTGCATGATTGCATCAGTTGCTCATCTGGTTTATTATGATTGTTGGTGATATTTATAGGCTAAGAAAGCAGAACATAAATATAATTTTTATTGATACACTTTTATTGCAAATATTTAAAGTAATTTAAATAAATTGTGGAAAGGGAATATTTTAAAAATCTAATCATGAGTGTTTAGGTGAGTCATTAGGGTTAATGATTACAAAAGTACGTACTTACCACCACCTATCACCACATACAAAACATTTGTTATTTTTTATTTTGATATTAAATCTCATAAGTAATTTTTTTTTACAATTAAATCAGTCATTATAATCTGAGTATTGGTCATCACAATCAAGACTGTAAATACAGAAACAGATGGCACTGTGTCATCTGTCATATCAGATATGTATTTAGCACATTGAATTTATGTCAAGCCATCTGATGTTACTATACAATGTAACTGCAGTAATAAAGAGCTTTAAAAAACAACAACAACTCAAAAATATCTTTTAAAGTCACCATGAAATCAAAATAGACCATTCTTATTTTTATGGACTATTGCACCAGTAGTTATTACACATGATTTAATGGTGCTGTATATTATTATTATTATTATTTTTTAAATTCATGTGCGCTCATTATCTTTAATCAAAATAACTTTCCCGCCCATTTGCAACTAACTAACCATTTCGTTCACCAATGAACCAATCAATTCCTGATAGACAAAATGAAGTCCTGCCCTACATTTTTTTTTTTTTCTAAATTCAGTTTCATGCCGACTTTAACTAAAATGTAAGTTATGCTCTCGGAGTACTTTAAAATGTTTCTTTCTTTCACAAATATATTGTGTATTTTGTGCATGATTTGATTTGATTTTATACTCATGAATTTGCAATGTTATGAGTGAAAGAATAATCATAATTCTGTCACTGTAATCCTTTTTAACAAGTGTCTTTTCTTCTTTGCTTTTGTCATCTACAGTAAGAGACTGCAACACACCATTCATCATGCTGACGAGACTTTTCCGAATCCACGGCCTCTTTGTGGCCTCCCATCCTTGGGAAGTCATTGTGGCCACTGTGACTCTCACCATCTGCATGATGTCCATGAACATGTTCACTGGAAATGACGAGATTTGTGGGTGGAACTTTGATTGCCCCAAATTAGAGGAGGTACAGTTTGTTACTTTGTTAAATAAATTACATCATGGTGGCGGTTAAAGTAAAGTTGAATGATATTATTTTGTCCTTGAATTATAATATTATGTTTTTTTCCCTTTCTATCTTGTCTTCAGCAAATCCTAAGCAGCGATATCATTATCCTGACAATCACAAGATGTATAGCAATCGTCTATATTTATTTTCAATTCCAAAATCTTCGACAGTTAGGATCCAAATACATATTGGGTGAGTTGTAGCGTATAAGCCTAGTTAATGATTTAAAATGATTTTGTGAGGTAACTTGAATTACAAGTGTTCAATTTTAAATTTTCATTTCAGGCATTGCAGGACTTTTCACAATATTCTCCAGTTTTGTGTTCAGCACGGTTGTGATTCACTTCCTGGACAAGGAGCTGACAGGTCTCAAGTATGTACAAATGTGTATCAATCTCACTTGAAATTTTGGAAGTATTGCTTTGGAAAATTCTTTGTACAAATATTATATGTTTATATTTTGTATTAATATTCACAGTGAGGCCTTGCCATTCTTTCTGCTGTTGATTGACCTCTCAAAAGCATGTGCTCTGGCCAAGTTTGCTTTGAGTTCCAACTCACAGGTACTTCACCTTTTCGCTTTTTTTCAGTCCAGTCCACATTTGTTACATTAAACTGAGGGTTAAGTAAATACGACCAATCATGCCAGTCTTGGCTTTTTGTAAATGGCTTTTTGGCTGTCCTGCAGGATGAGGTGAGAGAGAATATTGCCAAAGGAATGTCCGTTTTAGGACCCACTTTTACTCTTGATGCCCTTGTGGAGTGCCTGGTGATCGGTGTGGGAACAATGTCAGGTAAACTTCACCCTTCCATATGAGACAGAAAATTAGCACAGGTGGAATGCGCTAACATTAAACAGATTTGTTTAACCCAGCAGCAATAAACTTAATTTTAACTTAAACTTAACTTTATTTTGCCCTTTCGTTTTCCTGCAGGTGTGCGACAGCTTGAGATCATGTGCTGCTTTGGTTGTATGTCTGTCCTGGCTAACTACTTTGTGTTCATGACCTTCTTCCCGGCCTGTGTCTCACTTGTGTTGGAGGTATGTACGATTTTTTGCGCAGTACGCATAAATGAAGACTAGAACATATTCTAACATGTTTGTCTATTTCAATCAGTTGTCCAGAGAAAGCAGGGAGGGACGACCCATCTGGCAGCTGAGCCACTTTTCTAGAGTTCTGGAAGAGGAAGAGGACAACAAGCCTAACCCTGTCACGCAAAGAGTCAAAATGATCATGGTACACACTGAACAAAAAACACTACAGTTGTCACGCTTAGTTACACAAATCGCACAAAAATTACTAGAATAAGTCTTTAATCACTATATTGAAGAAATGCAGGAGTACACTGGAAAGCTATAAACAACTAACAAGTAAAACTAAGATGACACAAGAGAACGAAAAAATGAAATGAAGGGTATAAGTACACAGAGATTACAGGGTAACTAAAAAACAACAGATGAATGTAATCAAATCAGAAACCATAGAAACTAACAAGCAAACCGAACTCTGGAAAAGCAGCACAGGGAACAGAATGAAAACCAAACCAAAACAGAACAAGACCGTTACTACAGTTTTTTGATACTGGGATTTGGGGATATTAATGGTTTGGTCTCTAATGGTCTGGATCATGTTTAATATTTGCAGTCTCTTGGCCTGGTCATGGTTCACGCTCATAGCCGGTGGATTGCCGATCCCACGTCAAGTAACGGAACTCTTGATCTTCCTCAAGTTGGAGTGAGCCTGAATGACAATATGCCCAAGAGGATTGAACCAGACATGCCCCTGTGGCACTTTTACATGTCCAGGTGGGCACACTTCAGAGGCCTTATTCATTTTATTAATAATAATGCTGGTTTTGGCCATTGATATTTGTATTTGTTCTACTATCTACTATTAATTTCAATTGTTTGAATGTTTGTTTTTAAAGTTCTTTAGTTTTTATGTTTCAATAGTTCAAAATACATAGTTCTATGTATTAATAGTACAGCTAAATCTCTGCAGCTATAGATATACATGCAAATTTAATTTTTTATAATATTGCATACTGCATTGTATAATAATTATGGATGCATATTAAATTACTAATTGAGATGCACCGAAATGACAATTCTGGGCCGAAACTGAAAATTCGGGATGCACGTTCTGTGTCTTTTGTTTTGTATGGACTCCAAAATCATTTTTGGGTAGCTGAAATTTCGGTGCACGCATAGTAAAAAATAGTAGATACGATCATGTACAATTAAATATCCAATATCAATAGATACGATAAATTGAAAAGAAAATCTCTAATATTCGCTGATAACCAATATGATACTGATATATCATCATGCATCCTTAATAATAATAGTAACAAGACGATGATGTGGTTATTATTTTATTCTGTGCGTTTAGGATGATCAGCATGGACATTGAGCAGGTGATCACATTGGGTCTCGCCCTGTTCCTGGCTGTGAAGTACATTTTCTTCGAGCAAGTCGAGATGGAATCTACCCTGTCCCTGAAAGTCCCCACTCCAGGCTCCATGCTCTCGCAGAAATGGTCTCCTGATCAGTGCTGTAGGAAAGAGGTTTCCTGTTCTAGCAAGCCTGAGAAAACCCCAACTCCCCTTCCTGTTGTTACCAAAGAGGAAAGAGGTATTACCCCCTTGTCTTTTCATTTTTGTGTTCATTCTATACAAAACCATCACTCTATAATGGAATCTAACAGTAATTTCTCTCTTTCAGATTTAGTGATTCGGCCCCTGCCTGTCCTGAAAGAGCCTGAGCATAAAAGTAATTTTGTTCTGGGAGAGGATGAAACTCAAGAAAACGCTGATGTTTCGGAGCCTGCTATCAGTGTACCTGCCGAACCTAGACCTGTGGAAGATTGTCTGTCCATTCTGAAAAACCCAGATGTAAGAGCGTTGTTTAATATCCCAGCGATACTGTTTCTCTTGTTGTTTTTCTTTCCTACATCAAGATTAACCCTGGGTTCACTGTGGGACTGAAACCTGTAGTTATTTTTTACCTCAGGGTTGACCCATGTAATCTCTAATGAGATCCTCCTCTTCCTCTTTACTCTGACTCTTAGCCAATTAGTTTATGACGTTAGACAAGATCAGAAGCTTGTAGTGAAACCATTTACCTCCTAGAGTAGACTTCTGTTACCTTAATCCAAGTATAATCACAGTGTATGTGTGTGAGTATTTAAGTGTCACCTCTTCTGACTCCACAGATGGGCGCTCGGTACCTCAGTGACGAGGAGGTGATCGTTTTGGTGAACTCAAAGCACATCCCAGCTTACAAACTGGAGGCCATGATGGAGACCCCTGAGAGAGGGGTGATGATCCGTAGAAAAATGCTCTCCCCCAAATTCCCAGATCCCTCAGCTCTCTCCTGTCTGCCTTATAAAGACTATGACTACTCTAAGGTAAGACATGAGGTCATAATTTAAATAGTGGTGCTTTATTGATTTGAACAAACTAGGGATGTACTGACATTGAAACGTTTGCAAATTCCAAATTTTGTTCAAAAAGATATGATCCAATAAGATTATTTAATGTTTTTGAAAGAAGTCTCTTATGCTAACCAAAGCGGCATTTTTTAAAATAAAAAATACAGTAAAAACAGTAATACTGTTAAAATTAGTGCTGTCAAATCGATACATCTCGATGAATCACATCTAACACAAAAGTTTTTGTTTAGATGATATATGTGTGTGTATATTATTTTATTTATTTATATTATATATGTGTGTGTGTGTGTGTGTGTGTGTGTGTGTGTGTGTGTGTGTGCGTGTGTGTATAAATATATGTGCGTGTCTATATACAGTATATACACACAGACATAAATAATATAAATAAATATAATACTAAATATATATACACACATATAATTTTATTTTGTAAACTAATTTTTGTTAGATGTGATTAATTGATTTGACAGAACTATAAATAAAATAAATAAAAAAACTTTTCTATTTTTAAAATTTTAAGAATGTAATTTATTCCTTTGATGAAAAGGCTGAATTTTCAGCATCATTACTCCAGTCCTCAGTGTCACATGATCCTTCAGAAATCATTCTAATACGCTGATTTGCTGCTCAAGAAACATTTATTATTATTATTATCAATGTTAAAAACAAATGTGCTGCTTTTTTTGGAAACTAAATCTTTTTTTAACATTATTAATCATACTTCATTTTATTTAATTGTTTTTTAATTAAGATTCTTTAATGAATAGAAAGCTCAGAAGAACAGCATTTATTTCATTTATTTGAAATAGATTGTTTTTTTTAAATTAATAAATGCCTTTGCTGTCACTTTTGCTCAATTTAATGCATTCTTCCTGACTAGAGTATCAATTTTATTAACTTTGAGAAATCTACTGACCTAAAAACTAAAAATTATATGTATACCAAAATGAGCAATAGCTCATAACTAATTTGATACCATACTTTGAGGGTGGACTCTTTTGAATTGGGCTAGGAAACACTATTTAGTAACACCCCAGTAACTGTATAGCAACCCTGGCAACTACCCAGAACATTTAGAAGTTTATTGAGGTTTATTGAGCTTTTGATGGAAACCCCACCATTAATTTTCATGTTTTTTTATTCCAGGTGATGGGAACATGTTGTGAGAACGTCATTGGTTACATGCCAGTCCCTGTGGGAGTTGCTGGTCCTCTGTTATTGGATGGAAAGCAGTTTCAGGTCCCCATGGCAACAACTGAGGGCTGTCTAGTTGCCAGCACAAATAGAGGCTGCAGAGCTATAGCTGTAAGCATTTTTCCCTAGTTGAGTTTGTTTTTCCTGCTTTTTTTGTTTTAGTTCTCAAAGGGAAGCAAACACATTTAACAGCAGCCTAAACTGATGTAAAGTTGCGTAATGTCTAGTGTAAATCACATGAATGTAATGTTGTCGTGAATGGCTGTCCCACAGTTGGGAGGTGGTGCCAGTAGCCGTGTTCTTGCTGATGCAATGACGAGAGGGCCGGTGGTGCGTCTGCCTTCTGCCTGTCAAGCGGCTGAAGTCAAGGCCTATCTGGAGAGCGCTGAGGGCTTCAAGACCATCAAGGAGGCCTTTGACCAGACCAGCAGGTACGGGACTATTTCACTGAACAGATTTATTGTGGTAGTGCATTTAATTATGATTTTGTAACATATATTTGTGTTGTTTGTGTAGGTTCGCACGATTAGAGAAGCTTCTGATTGGCCTGGCAAGTCGCAACCTGTACATTCGATTCCAGTCTAAAACTGGAGATGCAATGGGCATGAACATGATCTCAAAAGTACGCTGAATTGCATTTTACAAAATGGTGTTAAACAAATATTGAAATGATCTTAACCGGCCTGAGACGATTTATTACTTGCGCTTCGCTGAGTTTTTATCTTTCTTTTCTCTTTGGTCACCAGGGCACAGAACAGGCTCTCGCCAGACTGAAGGAGGAATTTCCAGAGCTTCAAGTTTTGGCTGTTAGTGGAAACTACTGTACTGACAAAAAACCGGCTGCTATCAACTGGATTGAAGGCAGGGGCAAGTCAGTGGTGTGTGAGGCCACCATTCCAGCTAAAGTTGTCAAAGAGGTACACAACCATTTCATATTCTACAAAAAGTCCCATATTGGCTGCATATTGGATAGAAATTTATGTTTTTGGAATGAAAGTCCAGACTATAAGTCTCACACAAGTGTTGTTTCCGCAGATTTTAAAGACGTCGACTGCGGCTCTGGTAGATGTGAACATAAACAAGAACCTGGTTGGATCTGCTATGGCTGGAAGCATCGGAGGTTATAACGCTCACGCCGCAAACATTGTAGCTGCTATCTATATTGCTTGTGGACAGGTAATAAAAGTTAATGCTGTATTGTTTGGCGTATGATTTTGATACGGATAATGATGTGTTTTGTGATTATATAGTTACAATACGTGCAAATGAATTTGTTCTCGACAGGATCCAGCGCAGACAGTGGGCAGCTCTAATTGTATCACTATAATGGAAGCCTCAGGCCACACCGGGGAGGATCTTTATATCAGCTGTACTATGCCCTCCATTGAGCTGGGCACTGTGGGCGGAGGCACTAACCTTCCTCCACAGCAGGCCTGTTTACAGGTACGTACACCTATTCGATACAGGATCAATATTTGACACTTACGAAAGACAGACGTATGTTTTAGTTTCATTGTGGATGCACAGTTTTGAAGCCACTCTCATAGCATCTCATTCAGTTTTATTCTCTCTGTCACTTCCTGTCAGATGTTAGGTGTTCTGGGTGCCTGTCAGGTGTGTCCGGGCGAAAATGCCCGACAGCTTGCCAAGGTGGTGTGTGGGACCGTGCTTGCAGGAGAGCTGTCACTCATGTCTGCACTTGCTGCCGGACACCTGGTGAAAAGTCACATGACTCACAACAGGTAAGAATTCTTTATAAAATATGAATAGAACATTACTTTAATATTATTTACTGTATGTATATATATATATATATATTATTTTACAAATATTATAATAATTGAATAGTACAGTTTTATTCATATATATTTATATATTATATATTATTTATATATATATATATATATATATATATAATTTTAATAAAAAAATTATATATATGTATAATATATATATATATATATATATATATATATATATATACACACACACACACACACACACACAGTAATATATCATTCTAATAATTGTAATCTTAATATCCTATTAATAAAATTACCTTACAAATTAAAATATTGCACAATATAATATTATAATAATAGACTGACAATGTTTTGTAACGTAAACTATCATCTGCAAACACCTGTATCATTTCTTTTTTATATTTTGGCTTTAGATCAAAAGTCAATTTGCAAGAAGCTCCAGGAACATGTACTAAGCAGGCATCTTGAGACGTCGCCTGTTGAAGAGGCAAAGGGCCATAAAGAAAGACGATCTCATCTTCAAGGCACAAATGATTAGTAATTTAGATTATTTTCAAGGACAGCAAAAAGGAATACAAACTAACGACTATTCATGGTTTCCTTGATTTGTTAAAAGAGACTGGATTAATTAAAGACCTGAATCAAGACCAGCTGTGTTCACAAGCTTAGAGTCGGTATTTCTAAATCATATCTGAGCAGGATCGCAGCTTCCAGGCCTGCTTTGTCAAGCTTAACTCGCTATGAACAGCAAATCTGATCTTAGATCCACAGCAGCCAGAACATACAGATAAAGAAGGCCATATAACATAATTTGTTTTCTAAAATCAATAAAGTTCAGGTCACTTACAAGGCCACTGGATGGGTTAAAGTAGAGAGAATTTTGTACTTTATTTTTATTTGATGTTGATGGCAACTGGTAGCATATCTTTGTCAACTTGTTGCCAAACTGGACAGCAACATTAGAAAGGGAGAGATAAAGTTTACTTCTTTTCACTTAGAAAGGGAAATGGCACAGGACAGTACTGACACAGAGATGAGTTTAAAGTACTATGATTCACTAGTTGGTACACATGTAGAATATTACAGAACGACTATGGAATTGCCAAACGCAGCCGTCAGCAGTGATCGCAGTGTTTCTCGTGTCAGAATGTACATTCGTTTTTTTTCTATGACACAGGAATGTATTGAATGACTTGTGTAACTGAAAGGAGTAGTGCTACGACATGATGGGACAAATATTTCAAAAGGTGCTATGAGCCACGTTTCAGTTCTTTGTTCAATTACTGATTTCTTTGTGTTTGAACACCTACTGCATTGGGTTTATGTAACAATACACAACACATTGCGTATTTCTGATGGCTTTTATTAAGTTGGTTCTGGTTTTTATGTCATGGAAAAGAGTGGCTGATGTTTAGAAAAGTACGTTTCATGCACAAGACTGAAAGGAAGCGTGCTATTTTTCCCCAAAGGCACAATTCAAATTATTAAATAAATAATAAACTGCAAAGTTTTGTATATTTTTTTATAATAAAAGAAAAAATATATATACATTGTATTGTGCTTGAATTTATCATATTCTCTTTCTCACTTGGGCAACTGCAACCAAATAAACAAACACTAAGAAAATGTGCAGGGTTTAAAACTAAAATCCTGCCAATGTATTCATTATTTCTCTAGCAAAGGAATGCATTTTATATTAAAAAATAATGTCGGTTGCCATTGTGTGCATTACTATTTATTATTGTGTGTTGCTAACATTTAGCTCAACTTTAAAGAAAGAAAGATTACAAAGTGATAAGCCAAAAAACTAAACCAAAAAAAGCACCAAATGAATCATGTCGCTGAATGTTTCAAATAATTTTACCAATATAATTTTTTCTCTATTACCAGCTAAAAAAAAAAGCACAATACTAAAAAGAAAAAGAAAAAAAAGCACAGCTGTTATATGTTGAGGGTATGCGTGTGCTGGAGACCGGGATGTGGTGAGATGTTTGAGAGTTCTCTTTAAGGCAATGCCATTATAGGTTCTTGCCTCACCAGAGTGTGAGCCGACCAATCAGCTCGCCCTGCATCACATCTCACCAGGACACTGACTGCTGATTGGCTTAACCTCAGCGAGGCCCTAGCCTAGACAGACCTGCAGGGATGAAACGGGCTTTACACACACTATGGCTGGCAAGCCGTTTTAACATTTAATCCTTAAAACCTACTAGTATCTATTTTCATGCTACTAGTACTTATTTTTTAGATGATAGTATCTATTCCATTAAGTAAGCTACTAGTATTTATTCATTTGCTACTAGTGCTTATGTTTTAGGTATAGTGCCTATTCGTTAGATAGGCCTACTAGTGCATATTCTTTAGGTACTAGTGCCTTTTTAAAGATACTAGTACTTATTCATTAGATACTAGTTCTTATTTATTAGATACTACTTATTCCAAAAGTGTCTAGTATTTAATGATACCTAACTTAAGAAAAAATAGAACTAGTGCTTATTTTTTAGTTACTATGAACATTTTAGATCAAAGATATCCTTACCTTAAATACTGGTACTATTTAAATAATCAGTATGCAAATAATATGTTGAATATTAATGATCCATCAACATATCAAAGAGAGATGACACAGGAAACGGACTGAATTGCAGAAGGCCGTTTTTATAACAACAATATAATAAAAGCCTACCTTTTTAATGGTATTAGAGTAAAAAAATATATATAATGAATGAGGCATATGTAATATAGTGCATACATACTCTTATTTTGACATGACTCTCATTCACAGACGCAGATTCATATTCCGAATTTTTGATTGTAAGGAATTATGAATGCTCACCAAAAATCCCAATTTCTGGATATTGTGGTTGTTTGGATGGTGGGTATGAACCGGTTTTTGGATCTACTTAACTGTTGTTTGAATTTTATTATTGGCAGTTAAGTCTTTATTATAACCTACTGTACATTCAAAACAATAAATGTCATATTAAACATCTTTCCTTGTGTTCTTGCTAACCAATTAGCTAGATAAACCAACAAAGCCAGTTACTTACGAAAAATCAATCTTCTATAGCCTTAATTTAGCCTGCATTACCATATGAACTCTGATTGGATGGTTGAGAGTATACTCATGTTTAAGTAATGATCTGTTAAAAGAAAGATATCTCTTAACATTTTCTTACTAGTTCCTTATGAGGTTGAAGATATCTGCAAATTAATAGATACTAGCTATTCTGTTTTGATATCATCTAATAATTTATGACTAGTAATTATTCCAATATTGATGAGTATCTTTTTAATATTACTAATAGGCCTACGTAGTCATTGATTAGATGCTAGTACTTATATGGCAAGCCGTTGTAGCTTGAATTGTTCCCAGCGTTATTCGTCGTAATTGCATTTTTACTAGTAAGAATTCAATTAGAGAGCTCTACAATTCAATTCTTACTAGTAGCAATTACAATTAGAGAGCTCTCTAATTCAATTCTTACTAGTAAAAATGCAATTATGACGAGTAACGCTGCATGGCTAAAATTTAAGCTAGAATGGCTTGCCATAGTACTTATTGTATTCAATTACTTTTCATTCGATACTAGTACCTATTTAATAGATACTAGTAGTTATTCGTTAGGTACTAGACTATAGTACTTATTTATTAGACACCATATCTTTTTTAATTGTAACTTAACATGTCTTATCTAAGTCACAACTGTTTTACTCGTCTTCTGTTATGACTAGTCAGAACGACCACTGTAGAGTTCAATTAAAAATCTTACTAGTAAAATAAAAAAATCTTAACATTTGGAATAAATACTAGTATCTAATAATTAGATATACCAATATCTAATAAAAAAGTAGCTACTAGTATCCATTTAATAGGTAGTAGTATCTAATGACTAAGTACTATTTAACAAGAACTAGTATCTAGTAATAGGTACTATCTAAAAAATAAGTACTACCTAATGAATAACTACTAGTATCTAATAAATACGTACTAGTCACAATTGGAATACATACTAGTCGTCAGAACTGAATAGTTGATATCTGAATGACGTCAGATCCCCATAGAAGTCAATGGCAAAAATTTGTGTTATTGTGATATAATGTATTAGTAAAAAAAGAATAGTTACTAGTCACTATCGAAATGAATAAGTACTAATATCTAATAATAAGGACTAGTAACTAATTCATAAGTACTAGTGTCTATTTAATAGATACTAGTAGGCCTATCTAATGAATGAGTAGGCTACCAGTCTCTAAAAAATAAGAACTAGTATCTAATGAATAACTAGTATATTTTAAAAAGGTACTAGTATCTAAAGAATAGGCACTAGTAGGCTACTTAATGGAATATATATTAGTATCTAAAACAATAATAGCATTAAAATAGATAGGCCTACTAGTAGGTTTTAAGGATTAAATCTTAAAACGGCTAGCCACACACACACACACACAGAGACACAAAATTAATATCAGAGCGCTAACCGTGTTACTCCTCCCCTAATGCTTATCTTGAATAGTAACCCTATCGCAAGCTCATGATATCATATCAGCCCATAGGTTTGTCAGTCATCGTCAGCGCTCAGCGTGATTGGACACGCCCAGTGCAGAGTTCACAGAGGTTGAGTTGGTTTATTGCAATGTACTGTGAGATATTCTTCCTGTACAACACGCATAAAATCATCCTTGAGTGAGATTAAAAAACTATAGGCACTAGTAATAATTGATTTTACTGTGTCCTTGTTATATGTAGTCACTATAGTAATAGCTATATTCTGCATAATTACATGCAACTAACCCTATAGCAAATGCAGTTAATTAATATTACTCCGTACATAAATCATTATACGCTGTAGCCTGTAACAAACACAAATTAATAAAGTGAAAGTTTTGCTTTTGTTTAATAAAATTTGGTTTCATTAATAAGTTGGTGATACTACATATATAGAAGTCATTTACAAAACTTTTTTTTTTTTTTAAAGCAATCAACATTTGTCTCAAATCAACTGAAAGCTCAAATCAATCTCAAAATAGTGAGAACGTTTTTTTTCTTAGTTTCTTGTTCTTGCTTTCATGAACTAAGAGTTTCACACCATTCAACTAAATAAAAGTGCTTAAGCAGTACTGCAGCAGCAAATCTGTGACGGCAGGCAGGTTATGCAACGATTCGATCACTTACATGCATCAAATCAGCCGTTCGGAACTGGAGTATTAGTATGGGAAAAAACAATATGATGGGATTTTAGTGCAAACAATATTACTGACGTCACAAAAAAACTAAACCAACACATTCCAATAGTAAGATGATTCAATTAATAAATGGATTTGCCTTGCATATGCATTTCTCTTAAACAAATCATAAAGTTAAAGCCTTTATTAAAGGGATAGTTTACCCAAATTTTTTTAATTGTCATCATTTACTCTCGTTCGTCCAAAAGAAAATATTTTGAGGTATGTTGGTAACCAAACTGATTTAGTTACCAATACAAGAGAGAAAAAACAGACACATCTCAAAATATCTTATTTTGTGTTCTACAGAATAAAGAAAGTTCTTCAGATTTGGAACAACATGAGAGTGAGTAAATGATGACAATTTTGGGGTACTCCTTTAAGTCTAGGGATAGCTGAAAATGTGCCACATTCATTAATTCTTCCATACAGTGAATTAGACCACAGTAAGTGACATAAAACTGTGAAATGGCACAACTGCAGTAATTCCACATATATTGTGTAGATGGAAGACCAACAGGTAATAATGAACCAATTCGTGTGAAAAGTGGAACGATGAAACCGCTCTAATAGCATCCAAACACAGGCATTTGTACAACAAAGTGCCACCTACCTGCAGAAATTACTTTAGAAACTTCTGAAAATTAGAACAAAAAACAAAACTAAACTTAAAAAGAAAATGGAATAATGGTCATATACAAGTCACTACCAACATTTTACAGGTCTACCAAAATAGCCTCTACTTTTAAATATTAGCAGTACCCATTAAACATACACTTTGACAAAAGCCACATTTATAAATTACAATAATCAAAAATGTGTAATGCCTTCACATGTAAATAATGTTAAACATTCATACACTAACTGTACAATAGATTGTGAGACTGAAGTCTGACATCCTCTTGATCACGAGGACAGAAAGGGTCTTCCTAAGACAATGGCTATTGGCCAGTATATATATATATATATTTATATATATATATCATCAAGACCACAGTCAAAACTCAAACTATGATCAAATATTTACAAAAATGTAAAACACTTTAACAACCTGAGCCGCAGCTCAATTACGAAAAAACAAGTAAGGCCTTTTGAAGATGAACAGACCGTGTTGGTTGTTCTAGTGTGTTTGACTTTTCAAAGGTGCTTTTACAGACATTGGTGTACCGCTTTTGTTCAGTCTGTATGGATACAGTTTGAAAAAGGTTTCTGAAGAGTCAAGAGCACTTGGGCAGAGCAGCGCTTTGTCATGAGTGATGGTAGAGCATTGTGAATAAGGCGTTTCTTCAGGTGAGTCAGAAAGCAAACTGGGAATGTAGATTAAACAACCTGTAGGAAGAGAAAACAAAATTTGGAATAAATGTACAATGCGTTGTGATTTACAAGCGGGAAACAGTCACTTGTTTTTAAGGTGCGAGTTACCTGGTGTTGTTCAGAAGAGGATAGCCTCATCGCTGGTCTTCTCTTGAACATACGTGGTGAAGCGTTTGAGGAATTTGGGGTATTCTCTCTTGGCTACGGCTCGCAAGACTGATGCAGGGGCCCAACCACCAGGATTTACTTTAGGATTACATGAACACAGCATTAATGTGACATTTTATATCATGTATATCATAAAACAAAGATTACAATCCAAACTCTTATGTCCTTAGTGTAAAAATTATATATTTATGATATTTAGGGGCGGTTGACATTTTTAAACAGCCAGATGTCTTTTGCTAGAAGATGTCAACTGTCAATGTCAATTTGACAAATGTCAAATGTCAAAAACAGCCAGATGTCTTTTGCTAGATGATGTCAAATGTCAACTGTCTGGTTACCAACATTCTTTTAAAATATCATTTTGTGTTCAACAGAACTAAAAGTAATTCAGAGTTTACCAAGTCAAATACTGACAAATTTATCTAACTTTGTGGTCACTAAAACAGTTGAAATATTATTACAATTTAAAATAACTATTTTATAATTTAATATATTTTTAAATATAATTTATTCCTGTGATGGCAAAGCTGAATTTTCAGCATCATTACTCCATTCAGTGTCACATGATCCTTCGTAAATCATTCTAATATGCTCAGGAAACATTTATTTATAAAAAAATAAAATAAAAATATATAATAATAATAATATATATATATATATATATATATATAAATGCTTAATATTTTTGTGGAAATATTTTGTTCAAATGAACAGCATTTATTTTAAATAGAAATCTTTTGTAAAATACATTATGAAATCTTCACTGTCACAATACTTACTGACCCCAAACTTTTAAATAGTCATGTATGTACTTTTAAGACACCCACCCAAACTTTAGTTTTAATTATTTTCAGGGGTTCAATTAGGATGGTCAGACACCCTGACCCGTGAAAACTGGCACCATGGTTGTAGTGCTAGGCAGTGTTGGGGAAGTTACTTTTAAAAAGTAGTGTTTTCTCATTACTCGTTACTTCTTAAAAAAGTAATCCGTTACTTTACTTAGTTACGCCCTTTGGAAAGTAACTTTTTATGTTACTCGTTACTTTTACGTTACTTTTATGTTGCTTGACTTTGGGCAGAACCCAATATCTGTTCCTAAATGTGTAGGCCTACATAAAATTCTACCATGAACTCTAGGCTACTTATTGAAAAACTAGAAAAAAAAAACAAAAAAAAGGAGAGATTTTGAGATAGAAAAAAAATATATATTTATTTAAATAACATTTGAAAAACCTGTATAAACTGAACACCAAAGCACAATATTAACTATTGAGCGGTGGTGACGCGTTCATGAAAAATGTCACAAAGAACCGGCAAAAGAAATGATTATGAATATCGAATATCAAATATAGCAAGGAGACATTTTAATTGTTTATTAATAAACAAGTGTTTTCTTTGTCAGTCAGTGTCGGCTGCAAATATAAAGTTGACGATGCTGACTCGCGATCTTCACAGTAGTGAACGCGCCAGAGAGAAATGCACATTTCATATGGATTACATAAGCAGAGAGTCTGTTTTCTCTCGTTTTGAATAGTTTTGTTTTAAAGTACACATTTCAAACTTTCTATATATTTCTCAGATCTTTGAGGCAAGTAGCTTGCGCTAAGTTTCGGTTCATTTATGAGACGAGCTCAGTCCACGCGCCGGCACGGAGCTCCTGAGAAGTCCTGATTATATTGCCTGCTATATTTACTGCTTATTTAAAGTTACTGCTTAAAATAAGACAATTGGTTGATGAAACATTGATTAAAATTAAGATACAATTAATAAAAAACGAAATTCACTTTAAAGAAAGGCTTTCTACAAAAACAAACTTAATGAAGTGGTCAAAATCATGTCTGCCCACTCCATTTGTCTCCCGATTGCGCATATGCTCTTACTCATGCTTTTCACTTTTCATATAATCAACATTGATGAAATTAAAAAATAAATTATTTTATTTAAACATAAATATGAAACTAAATCGTTTTCTTTAATGACTAGGCTACAACACGCAGGTCTATACAGAGACATTTAATATCGGAGCGGGATTTGAGCGAACGCCGTCTTATAAGCATGTGGGGGTAGAGGTACGATTTTCGAGCAATCATCGAATATTATTTTGCTTGATATGCCAATCCTTAATATTTGGTGTTTTAAATGCCTGTTTGAGGTCTCTGTGAAAGATTTAAAGCAGTCTTTTAGTGCCGCTTTCAGAGCGGTCAAGTCGGAAGAACTGTTACGTCCATGACATTGTTTCTTTCCTCATAAATGCGAACACGAAAAATTCAATACAATTAATATTTTATGTTCTGTGGAGAGCCAACCCTTCTTCATCCGGTGGGAGTATTACTTTTGGTTTGCGCAGTGTAATTCACAGAATTGATTGCTCTGCTACCAGCCTCTGTCACGTACCATGTGGAGCTTGTGACTATTGCAAGCGCGCAGCTGAGGAGACAGTGTTGCTGTCAAATCTGTCCATGGGAAAAGTAACGTTGTGCGAAATTGAAAAAGGAACTACGTTTCGTTACCAAATTTTCAGTAGTAACGCGTTACACTACTTTTTACCCGAAAAAGTAGTTACGTTACTGTAACGCGTTACTTTGTAACGCGTTACACACAACACTGGTGCTAGGCTTACCGTTGGCTACATATGTGATTTTACAGAGGATGTTGTCCCTGGTGATGTCTTTGTCTCCCTCTGGTGGGCTGACTAGTGTTTGACAAATCATGGCTACATTGATTTTGGCACGAATGCATCTAGCAGAGGGCTGGAGAAAACATGAGAAACCTCTGTTAGAGAGTATTCTGATGCATAGCTTATTGTATACCTTTAATGTTGAATATTATTTGTTTATATGTTTCTGGGTTTCTAATAATAATAATAATAATGTCTGTGATATCAAATTGTATGAAAAGGGAAACATTTTAATGGATACTTCTGCAGTCCAGGTACTTACTGGATAGCTGTCATGATCCACTGAGAAGTTGCACACCAGCCAGGTGTCAGGATCATTCTCATTGGTGGAGAGAATTTTACGAATAACCGATACATAAAGCACATCCCGCTGGGAGGCAGGCCACACTCTCTACAAAAAAAGAGTGAGAAAGTGTATCTAAAGATATCAATGCAACTGCAACAACCACAAATGATTTCAGAAACAACCAGCCATAATGCAATAGTGAATGGTGCTTTACTTTATGTGTCTGATGAATGATGACCGCTTTATCCGAGAGCGTCTCAACAACTTGAAAGCTTTCAATTGTTGCTGTAAAAGAATAGGTAAATGTGTTTGCATGTATAACCAAAGCAGCATTTTCTTATTATTTGCATCAGTTATTATCATTAACTAAAACAATTAAAAAAAAGTTTTTCTAATTATATAATCTCATATATATATATATATGTATATATATATATATATATATATATATATATATATATATATATATATATATATATATATATATATATATATGGAAGTAAAATAATCCCAAATGTTTTTGAAACAAAAAGCCTGTTGAATTGTACTACTTGAAAAAAATATGCATTGCATTAACCCTGCTTGTATTTTAATGCATTGTATTTTTAGGGCTTGCATTTTTATAGGCTGAAATTTAGCATGGTTAAATATTTAACTTGTGAATATTTCAAATCAAATCATTTCAAACACATTTTCATTAGTAAAATTTCAATAATCCATATTCACCTTTCATATTTCATTTCCCAAATATTCAAACTGATTAAAAATACAACCTAAAATATTCAACAGGCGGTTTTCGGTCCATTTTATTTCGCTTTGCAAATTCGCTTCCACAAATTCAGTGGTTCAAATTCGACAGTAAATTCAACATTGACATCCAGGAGCTGCAGGAAAAGTAGTAGATTACCGAGCATAATCTCCATCTGCTGTTAGTCGACCACACCAGCAGGGGGTGCAAGCGCGTGTTGTTGACGAAGACCAGAGCAACAGTTAGCGCAAGCCATTCATTCATAAAAACTTATTTACAAAAATGTAAGTGTATTTGTGATTTTATGACGTCTGTTTTATGTGAAATTCAGTGTGTTCACGATTACTTTTCCTGTGTAGCCTACATGCATCTTTCTCTACCATGAACGATAATGTTATTCCCCCGATGCGGATGTACAGATCCAGTGTTACATTTGACATATTTCTCTTGGTTGTTTAGTTGCCTTAACCTTATATTGCAGCGATGTGCTGCATGCAGTACTAGGGTTTGGTTTCCCTCAATATGTCAGGATTCCCCTGCTGGACATATAAAACGCTTAACGTAGCTTAATGGACATAAAAGACCAAACTCGCAGGCTAGCAGATGGACTCAGAATATGAATTTGACGCGCAAAGTTTAATGCTGAGCGTTTCCCAGTGATATACTGGCATAAATTTGGTTTGACATTGGACATTCGCACATTTAGGGACCGTCTCTAAAGTTACATACGACATTGGTATACACGTTTCTAACTTAAATACCATTTGAAAAGAACAACTTACAGTCATAAAACCAACTGTAAAGTGTTCGTGTAGGTGTCAGGCTCAGGCATAATGCGCAATTTTTTCAAATAGATTGAAGTTTGCTATTGAAGTTAGAAACGTTTAGGCCTATAGGACTTGTTACTTTAGAGACGGTCCCTAAATGTGCGAATGTCAACCCAATTTTACATTTAGTCTTTTAGCTGGCACTTTTATCCAAAGCGACTAGTTAAACTAACAATATAGAACAACAATATTAAATTGCTACTTCCCAGTTTAATCTAATGCAGTACATGTACAATACATACTTTCCAAATAAGGTGCGAGTTTGGTCTTTTATATCACTGTACTGTGTTTTATATCACTGTACTTAAGCTACCTTAAGCGCTTAAGTCCTGACGGAATTCGGGGAATCTTTGAGTATGATGATGTATTGAGGGAAACAGATTATAATCCCGTTCACTGTAGAAAAAGCTGATAACATAAGGCTACACAGGGAAAGTAACAATGAATGAAACATAAAAACAGCTTTTGTGCCTTTAGATATCATCTTTTCCGCATATATACTGACCCAGATAATCGTCACAAAAAACGTAATGCATGCTGAGTTTTTATGAATGAATGGCTTGCTCTAGTCTAACTGTTGCTCTGGTCTTCTCAACAACACGCGCTTGCACCCCCTGCTGGTGATGTTGACTAACAGCAGATGGAGATTATCCTCGGTAATCTACTGCTTTTCCTGCAGCTCCTGGATGTCAACGTTGAATTTACTGTCGAATTTGAACCACTGAATTTGTGGAAGCGAATTTGCAAAGCGAAATAAAATGGACCGAAAACCGCCTGTTGAATATTATAGGTTGTATTTTTAATCAGTTTGAATATTTTGGAAGTGAAATATGAAAGGTGAATATGGATTATTGAAATTTTACTAATGAAAATGTGTTTGAAATGATTTGATTTGAAATATTCACAGCTTAAATATTCAACCATGCTAAATTTCAGCCTATAAAAATGCAAGCCCTAAAAATACAATGCATTAAAATACAAGCAGGGTTAATGCAATGCATATTTTTTTCAAGTAGTACAATTCAACAGGCTTTTTGTTTCAAAAACATTTGGGATTATTTTACTTCCATATATATTATATATATTATATAATAAAATATAAATATTAGATGGAAAAACAAACTCATTTTCAAGTCAACATTTCTAATTTTAGTTTAAAGTTGAAGCAATACAATTATTAACTGGAAATAAATGAAAACTAAACTAAAACAAAAATAGATTAAACCTAAATGGCAATAATTTTTTTTTTTTTTTTTTATTGACAAAAGCACATTAAACGCTTTGAGCTCGTCCACTTTCAACCACTTCAAGAGGTAGTCAAAAAACACATTTGACCGGATTGTTTTCATAGGGTAAACGCTCATGTGGTCAAATGACCTTCTGCGTAAACATTATGGGAAGTACGCTAGCCAGACAGGATTTAAACTTTGTCGGCTGAAGACCCAAGTTTGGTTTGAATATGAAAAACGTACCAGGCACAATGTTCTCTCACCATTTCTGATTTCTAACAGGCACTCACCATGTTCGCCATGGTCTTGTGGCTACCAAGCAAAAAACAAAAGCTGCTGCTCTCCGTATTTTTTTCTGTGGTTAACGGTATGTAAATTGCTTGAGCTCATTTCATCCATCAGATCGAAAGATATGAAAACGCCCAAACATAGACCCTCCCCTCAAAGAAATCAGGAGAAAAGTTGTCACAAGTGGACAAAAGAGACAGATTAAAACACCGGGTGTAAACGGGAATGTGTCCCTCGTCCACTTCTGATCTGAATGACCAAAATGCATCTTAATACCTGGTGTGAACAGGGCCTAAAATAACACTGATTTCCATGTCCTATACATACAGGGTCTGATAACCTGATGTCTAAACAGAGGCAATATTAGATTAGAAGATCAAAAAGGGAAAATGATATGCTGAGGTGAACATACTCTCCCAGTCGTTCCGATAAGCTGTGTCCCAAAAGTAGTGGCAGACCTCGTGCCCCGTGACCCCTCTGACAGAATGAGTAGCTTTGAGAGGATCCAGAACGATGCCGTTCTCCTCCACCTCTCTCCTATACACCTGCAAAAACAAATGTTGCAACAAGTTTATTTCTTGTACATACATACATTTATTTTATATATACACACACACAACCGTTCAAAGGTTCAGGGTTAGTAAGATTTAAAAACAAACAAAGAAAAAAAGAGTAATACTTTTATTCAGGAAGGATGTATTAAATTAGTCAACAGCAACAGTAAAAGCATTTATAATGTTACAAAATATTTATATTTCAAATAAATGCTGTTCTTTCAAGGAATCCTGAAAATATCACAGTTTCTGCAAAATATTAAACAGGACAACTTTAACATTGATAATAAGAAATGTTTCTTGAACCCCAAATCAGCATATTAATATTAATTCTGAAAGATAATGTGACAAAATAATACTGTTTTTACTGTATTTTCTTTATCAAATAAATGCAGCCTTGGTGAGCATTTGAGACTTCTTTCAAAAACCTTTCTGAAATCAAACGTTTGAATGGTAGTGTGGATTTCTATATATATATATATATATATATATATCAAACACACATACAGTGCATCTGGAAAGTATTCACAGCACTTAACTTTTTCCAGTTTGTTACAGCCTTATTCCAAAATGGATTAAAATCATTACTTTCCTCAAAATTCTGCAAACAATACCCCATAATGACAACGTGAAAGAAGTTTGTTTGAAACCTTTATAAAAAAAAAAAAAATAAAAAAAAATCACATGTACATAAGTATTCACAGCCTTTGGCCCCGTTTACACGATGGGAAAACGCAGATATTTCTCTGCGTTTTGCCCTCTCATTTACACGAAAACGCCGTTTTTATCACAGAAAACGATTATTTCTAAAAACTCCGGGCAAAGTGGAGATTTCTGAAAACGCCGGTTATGTGTTGCCGTGTAAACTGGGAGAAACGAGGTTTTAGGTTCTCTCTTGTCGATTCTGAGGATTTTGATTGGCTTGCATGGCTTTATGCTTCTCCCTACACTGCCACCCATAGGTTTGGCATAGTTATGATGGCGCTCGATGGCGTATTTATGCGGGTGTGTGCACGATGTTATTTTTGAAAACGGAGAGGGGGAAAATATTCGTTTCTCTAAATACCCGGCTATGTGTAAACGTAGCCTTTGCCATGACACTCAAAATTGAGCTTAAGTGCATCCTGTTTCCACTGATCATCCGTGAGATGTTTCTACAACTTGATTAGAGTCCACCTGTGGTAAATTCAGTTGATTGGACATGATTTGGAAAGAAAATTCTCACACACCTGTCTATATAAGGTCCCACAGTTAACAGTGCATGTCAGAGCACAAACCAAGCCATGAAGACCAAGAAATTGTCTGTAGACCCGATTGTATTGAGGCACAGATCTAGGGAAGGGTACAGAAACCTTTCTGCAGCATTGAAGGTCCCAATGACAGAGCTCGAGTGTTTCTCTGTGGAGAGAGCAGAAGCTTCCAGAAGAACAATCATCTCTGCAGCACTCCACCAATCAGGCCTGTATGGTAGAGTGGCCAGACGGAAGCCACTCCTCAGTGAAAGGCACATGGACAGCCCCGCCTGGAGTTTGCCAAAAGGCACCTAAAGGACTCTCAGTGAGAAACAAAATTCTCTGGTCTGATGAAACAAAGATTGAGCTCTTTGGCCTGAATGGCAAGCGTCATGTCTGGAGGAAACCAGGCACCGCTCATCACTTGGGCAATACCATCCAGGAAATGGGTGACTAGTCAGGATCGAGGGAAAGATGAATGCAGCAGCAATGTACAGAGACATCCTTGATGAAAACCTGCACCAGAGCGCTCTGGACCTCAGACTGGGGCGACGGTTCATCTTCCAACAGAACAACGACCCTAAGCACACAGCCAAGATAACAAAGGAGTGGCTACAGGACAACTCTGTGACTTGAACCGGATTGAACATCTCTGGAGAGATCTGAAAATGGCTGTGCATCGACACTCCCCATCCAACCTGATTGAGCTTGAGCGGTTCTGCAAAGAAGAATGAGAGAAACTGCCCAAAAATAGGTGCGTCAAGCTTGTAGCATCATACTCAAAAAGACTTGAGGCTGTAATTGGTGCTTCAACAAAGTATTGAGCAAAGGCTGTGAATACTTATATACATGTGATTTTTTTTCGTTTTTTATTTGTAATAAATTTGAAACAAACTTTCACGTTGTCATTATGGGGTATTGTTTGTAGAATTTTGAGGAAAATAATGAATTTAATCCATTTTGGAATAAGGCCGTAACAAAATGTGAAAAAAGTGAAGCGCTGTGAATACTTTCCGGATGCACTATATATATATATATATATATATATATACACACACACACACTAGTGCTGTCAAACGATTAAAATATTTAATCGCGATTAATCGCATTAATGCCATAGTTAACTCGCAATTAATCGCACATTTTTATCTATTCTAAATGTCTCTTGATTTCTTTTTGTCCCATTATTTTTTTCTCATTTTAATGCTCTTATCAACATGGAAAAGTGGATCGGGTTGCTTTGTGCAAATGTTTTTTTATTGAAAACAACATTGGCATGTACTGTGTTCAATTTCACACTAACATTCTCACTTGGAGCAAATAATCTCACACAATGTAACGTTGTCCATCAATAAAAGGGTGAAAGAAATACTGACGAGGTCCTGATATTGACGAGGGAGCGGAGAATTCGCATCAGCTGTGTGTGTGTGTGTGTGTGTGCTTGGCCTTCAAGTGGTATTTCAGACGTGCTGCGATGACGATAGCTCAGTTCACAACGACAAAACACACAGATCACTTTGGTCTTGTCAATGGAACCATTTGGCAACTTTTTAAAAGTAAACTTTCCATTCAGAATCTTATTGGCATCCATTTGAGGCGTCTCGCGCTCGCCATCCACTCAAAACGTAACGTTAACCTACTATTTGGCCGGCTCGCACGCCCAAACGAGTGTGTGCGTCGTGCCTGTTGTTTTGTTTCCGGTCTAGCTAGATCCGCTTGCGCTTTCAAAACGTCCTCGCGCGGCGCAAGCCATTGAAATGAATGGGCTGCACCTCCTGTTGCAAAAGCATGTGAAAAAACTACAAAGTTTGCTAGGCCAAAAAGACTTAATCAAGCGATAAAGAAATTAACGCCGTTAAAATGGGTTTGCGTTAATAACGCATTTAACTGACAGCCCTAATATATATATGTATATATATATATATATATATAGAGAGAGAGAGATATAATTGCAAGAAAAATAAATCCCAAAGATATAAAGCTTAGATGTTACAGGCATTGTTACAGGCTTTTTTTTTAACTCTGATATGGAAACAGGCTTCCATAGCAACAAGCTCAGTTTCAAATTAAAAATAAAATATTTTGAACTATATTTCACCTTCATATCCCCTTCTTCAATGACCAGCTGCCAGTTAGCATCTCCACCCACATCCTGTAAAGAATAGGTCATGTGACTGTGCACCATCTCCTCAACCTGTGAACAAAACAAGAGGCATGAGGTGTTGCTGAAAGTATACAAGCAAAAAAAGTTACAAACATTTCTCCGAGTTACAAACAACCATACGCCTGCAGTTCATCCACACTAGTGTAGTGTCATTTCTCTACCTGAGCACTGAACCTGTGCACGTCATCTGAGGCACTTATGAGGTCGACGGAGGAGGACAAGGAGGAAGTATGACTGCAAGGCTGAACCCAAGAGACAGAAACCCAGAGGGAAACAGGTCAAGGGAAAGAGAGGGAAATAAAAAAATCTCATCATCACCCAGAGAATACAAAGAAGACTTCCACTGTAAATCACACTTCAGCAGGAGGAACTGGAAGAACAAAAGGCACTATCACAAACGTAAAAGTTCCAAGAATTTCACAGAGCAGATCTACCATCAGCAATGACAGAATTGCATAATCAGTCACGAAAGAGCAAATGTGCTTTGATAGAGTGTTTGTGTGTAGGAGTGTGTGTTTGTGTGGGTGAATCACCTTATTCGAGTATTTCTGAGTGCCGATGGAGGAATAGGTGTCTGGAGTGAGGGAGATTTGTCGAGATATCCTGCTTCTTTCTGCCTGGGACTGTAAAACATGTCAGCAACATTTATATATAAACATTAGCTTTAAATGCAATTAAATTAGCTGTAAATATGCTTTGTAGATAGTTTCTTGATTGGTATATTGGCTGTTGGATCCTGATGAACAACGAACTGTTGATAAGGTACAGTTGGGAGTCGAATAATCGATTCCTCGATTCCAAGGCATTGGTAATCAAGAATCATTTCCAAAAGTTGGAGGGGAATCGACTCCTCTTTCCTTTTTTTCTTGGTTACACATTTTTTTAAGGTGTCCTTGTTACAGTGTAACTATACATTTAAGTACAGAGTAATATTAATTAACAACATGTACTTGCTATATAATAAGGGTTTGGGTTAGTTAGTTGCATGTAATTATGTATAATTTACTGTTATTACATAAGTAAGTACATGTAATGTAACAAGGACACTAAAATAAAGTGTTACGGACTTTTTCTTAAAGATTCATCTGTTACTCCACAAAATAGGTTAATATTCATTATCAGTACAGGTTCCAACTAGTAGTAAACTGAAACATCAACAAGGATGATATTTGCCATTTTTCTATTTTTTTTCTTCTGATCTCAACTTCAAACCAGACTTTCAGTGTGATTGAACGCGTTCATACTTAAGGCACGTTAACACCCTTAAAGATAACTATATTCGCGTCCACACCATTGGATGATAACGTTATGTTTATTTATTATAAATGAACGAAGTTATGTTGTCTATGTAAACAGTTGAGCTCTTTAAAGTTGATGGATTCTGATTGGCTGTCAATGTATTTAGTATAGTGATTCCAATTAAATCGTTCCTCTCTGTCATTATCGTTATAGCTGTTGTGTGGACTTAAATATTCTCATAGAAACTCTATAGTTATAGTTATCATTTTTGGTGTTTAGGTCCCTATACTGTGGTCAAGAAACGCACTCTCTGACATTAACTAAATGACTGACTGACTTAAAAACAACTATAGCTCAGTTTTAATGGGATGTTTTAAAGTAAAATTGTAAACTTAAGTGAAAGGCAAGTGGTAAAGTTAGCAAAATGGCTAAATTTGTTTAGAGAACTTTTAAGGTGACAACAGCAACAGCAACAACAGAGCCCCAGCTCAATATGTTGGAACACATGTGCAAACCCGCTAGGCCACTCTGACCATTTTGGTTTTCCCAGTTTTTCTACAGAACTGAAAACACAACCCTTGGTATATATTTACACTTCTAGAGTCATGATGATGTGATCAAACAGTCCGTTCCATGGAAACAGAGTCATTATAACAAATGGGATGGCAGCTCAGCATATAACAAAACATATGTCACAGTAACAGTACATAAAACAGAAATGTGTAAAACATCCAGCTTTGCAAAATGATTAATTCATCTGAATCATTACTTGTACTTCGATCTGGTCATGTTTATCCAATGCAGCTTCCACAGCATCAAAGAACTCCTCTTCATTGATCAGACTGTTTGGTCCTTCCTGCACAGACACGTTTAGCACAGAGAGAGCATCTCAGTCTAAAATGGAGGGTGTGTGTTGGCCCACAGATGGAAAGGACAGTGTAAATTAAAGGTTGTGAACTTACTTCATAGTCTGGTCCTCCATAATGAGGCTTCTTCTTCAGCTCTGTCAATGCAGCTTTGTAGGCGTCTTCAGCCCGTCTTCTCCTTTCAATTTCCTTTTGTGGAAAGAATGTTACTCATAGTTTTACTATATCTGATATAAATCAATGAATTCAAGAGGATCTTAAAGGGGTCATTACTATAATTAATAAAAAATATTTTAATATTTTTTTTATTTTCAAAAGTTTGGGTCTCAGAGATTTTTTTCAAAAGCATTAAAAAAATCTTAGATTCATTCATTTTAAGACAAATATATTAACACGACGAACATATTTTTAAAATTTAAAAGGTAACTATTTTCTAATTTTATATATTTTAAAATGTAATTTATTCCAGTGATGGCAAAGCTGAATTGTCAGTATCATTACTCCAGTCTTCAGTGTCACATGATTCTTTAGAAATCAGTCTAATATGCTGATTTGGTGCTTAAGAAACATTTCTTATCATTGTTGAAAACAGTTGTGCCCATTCATATTTTTTGTACTAGATTCTTTGATGAATAGAAATTTCAAAAGAACTGAAGTTATTTCCGTTATTTGAAACAGAAATCTTCTGTAACATTATAAATGTCTCGACTATCAATTTTGATCAGTTTAATGCTTCCTTGCAGAAAAACTAAATTATATCTTTAAAAATAATAATAATAAAAATCTTACTGACCCCAAACTATTGTAAATGGTCATGGATAAATGACCGTTGGGATTCTGATTCTGAAATAAAGTTTTGGAACGAACCATTTTTGCTGCCTAGTTTCAATAAACCTTTTGGACTTTTGGCAAGACGTTTTGAGTTCTACAACGTATATGTTTGCATACCATTATGAATTTGATTTGATTCCTCATGAATCCTCATGATAGGCACTCAGGACTCTTGCTAAACAAAGCTTGCTTACAAACAAATCCCAAAAATATCTGTTAAGGATCCAAATGGAGAATCCGGGACAGAGCAAAGACACGAGACGGGCAATCTGACAGGTCCACTGGCAGTTTCATGCTTCAGCTAAAGCAAACACACCCATTTCAACGGTCTATCCTACTACAGATGCGATTGATGATACCATTGTGTCTTGCCTCTTTGGAAGGGCATTCATTCAACAAAGGGAGGAGCCCATAACACCCGCTCTCTAAACTTGCTTGAAGCTTGAACAGCTTGCAGAAAGTCAACCTTTAAACCAGTCAAACAAATAACTCAAATGAAGTAGTCTTGCCACATTAAACCTTCACTGAAACATGTTTGTTCATTTGACTAACTGAGAAGCTTTGGGTGTTGTAGACAAGTAGTTGTTGCATAATTTTGTTTAGTAAATAATAAATCCAATCTGTTCTAAAACTGACAGGTGTGTCTTTGCTAAAAGCACTGACACACCTCTACTACTGACACAAAGATTGTACACATACTGACACATGAGACAATTACTGACAACACCCGGCTTATATGACAGTTGATAACTATCAAAAGGTGGTAATGTGACTCCACTAAACCAAAGCGATTAAACGCCAATGGCAGAGCTGAGATGAAAATGCAAACGCATCCACTTACATAGCACAAATGCAAGACTAAAACACATAAAGACTAAAAACACATACAGTATGTAAAGTGACTCTTTTAAGCACTTAAAACAGAACGTAGCATCAAATAACCAGTGAACTGGACACAAGCAAGTCAAACCTACAGTGTAGAAGCTGCTGTGCGTAGACAGAGGAATCCAGTTTTCATTAGTGCTCTGAAGCGCCACCCAGTTCTGCCACGGCTTCAACGCTGAAGAAATGTACACTGTAGACATCCTCTACAATCCGGTCGCTAACATCAAAACACACAATCCTCAGAAATGGGAAACTCTGGTCATTTTGCAGAAAGCTTTATTCCGTTCAAAGGTCCATCCAATCCTGTTGATTGACTGTGAACATACTGTAAAATCTGCGGCTGGAATTCAAGAAGCCGCTTCCTGGCTGATAATATAGCAGGGGTTGGACTGTAGATGGAAAAACTGGTCGGGCAAGTGCGTGCATAAGCTTTACACTCAGATACTAATGACAATGCTAATGTGAGGAATGCACGGCTTCTGGAGACCAGATGCACTTTTGTTTTAATGGATGTGTCTTTGTGACTCATCCAGTAATTAAGGTGTTATGTGGGAAGTGTATGGGAAAGTAAATAGCAGGGGTTAAAGTGAAAAAAGTTCCTGAGCCTGAACTTTTTTTGGGGGGGGGGGGGGGGGGGGGGGGGGGAACTATCTTCAATGGCACCATTTATTTTCAAGTATTAAAGCTGTATCTTAATGCCATCTTTTTATGAATGAAAGCCAGTATCACTAATATTATAGCTACTGATGTCTCGATGAAAATGATTTCCCCCCAAATTTTAAACATTAGGCTTCAAAAAATATAAAAAACCTTTAAATTTAAGTGAACTTAAAACAATCCTCACTTAAACCCATAATAAATGTCATTTACCTGTACCATACAGAAATTGAATAAGGTTATAAAACAGTCCGCACTGCGTAAATTATAAATGAAATATAGATTAATCCTTATCAAAGCTACAAGCATTCTTTAGTCAAGAGCAGTTAGTAATTTTCTCTGTTCCCTTTGTTCTTTAGGTTAACTTTACTGACAGACAGAATTAATGGCTCCTGTCACTTTAAGATCTGTCGCTGCTGACAGGATCTCATGCATCTCATTCTCTCACTACTATTTACTTCCATTTGAGATTTTATTTAACTCATTTAGGACTGTTCTTGTGAGGATGCTTGACAAAACTGACATTTTGGCATAAATGTGTGTGTTATTGTTCGTTCAAGCGCGAAAGAACTCGATACTGGCGCGCGTCTTTCTGTGCGTCGTGTGTGTGTGTGTGTGCGCGTCAGGAGGACATTCACTGACAGCGCGTTCTCTTTTGTCTTGTCGCGCATGAGTGGTTTAAAGCATTTGCGTGAATAAGAACATGGTCATCTCATAACCCTAGCTAAAGGATGACAGAAAGAACGGATGCTGCGTTTTTGCGTTAAATATTTTAACACGTTAAAGCTGGACAAAAATGAATCTCATGCTAAAATAATCATTTTTTCCTCACGGCCGCACGCCGGAGATCCGGCACGGTGCCGGAATACTTTAAGCCCTGACATAGAGCCCATTTTAAGCTTGTGACAAAACAGCTTGATGCGAAATGCTTCATACGTAACAAAATGCACTCTGTGGTTTCAATACTGCAAAAAAGCATAGGGTAGTCCCAAAATTAACAATACTTCCTGTAAAACTGAAATTCTCAAAAAAAGAGAGAATTCTGTCATCATTTAAATCACCCTCACGTTGTTCCAGACCCATACTCTTTTCCTTGATAGGTTAAATTGAGGTCTGTTTCTTATTCAAAGCTTTCGTGGGTTCAAAGACTTGAAATATAACACAGGAGTCCGATGGACTACTTTAATGGTGCCTTTTTGGAGATTGATGGGCCGTGGTCACCGTTCACTTTGTTATATTGGCAGAGCAATTGGACAGATCCTTTCTGACCTCCTATACACTTCACTGGTTCTCCGCAGGGCTGTGTCCTTTCCCCTCTGCTCTTCATTCTGCATACCGACTATTTCAGGTCCACCCAATCTAACGGTCATCTAATTAAGTTTGCTGATGACACCATCTTACTGTCTCGGCTTTCAGGACCTTCACAGCATCATGGTCCAACTCTTCAGGAATTTGTTGAGCGGTGTGACAACTCCTGTTTGGAACTAAATGTGAACAAGACTAAAGAGATGGTAGTAACCTTTTCTAATAAGCAGAGGCAGATGACTACGGCAGTCACTACTATCATTCACAAAAAGCCCATAGAGATTGTTGAGGAGTACAAGTACTTGGGCACAATTTTTGACAATCTGCTGAAATTTACTTCCAACACGGAGGAGAAACTGGTGGCAGCACCAGTACCTTTTAAGGAAGCTCAGTTCCTTTGGGGATAGTAAGAACATCTTCACTATGTTCTACTACTCCTACATTGAAAGTGTCATTACATTCTCTATCGTCAGCTGGTTTAATTCTATCACCCTTCAAAATAGAAGTTATTGGACTTCTTATTAGGGCTCTTTCCAAAAGTGAACAGCAAATGCTGAGGTTGGCTGGCAGGATTTTACAAGACCCTTCACATGTCCTGTTTTCTGAAGGCTTCGCTGTCCAGGCTGTGGGACACAAAGGAGGAAGGCAACCTTTTTTCCTAAAGTGGTTCAGCTTTTAAATTCCCAACCATCTCAGATCCCCTTGTTTACCACGCCATGACTTTTACCCCTCTTATTTATATATTTTTAATGGCACACACATACATATATTTATTTATTTATTCATTCATTAATTCTTATACATGGTTTGGACTTGTTTTTTTAGGTATCTGCCTGTAGCAGATTGTATTTAATATGTACAAATAAAGTGTTTGAAATTGGAAATTAAAAAGCATTTATAGTTAATTTATAGTAAATCGTTTTTTTTTTGTAACATTATAAATTGTATTTTACTTTTGATCAAATTCATCCATTCTTGTTGAATAAATAATGATAATCAAAAAATTTACATTCTGTCATAATTTACTCACCAAACATGTATGAATTAGAATTACTATATGTTGATGTACACTACAGTTTGGAGTCTGTAAGATTTTTTGCTGCACACTACCTTATCGAGTCGTCTCTGCCAGCTCTCCTCTCGTTTGACCAAAATGTCAATGCAGTGGGACAGTGTGGACAGGATTCCTGCTGTAGTGGCTTTAAACGTGATGGCTTCACCCTTGAAATCGATGCCTACGGGAGCTTTGAGGCTGTCCACAGGAAATACTGCAGAAAAATCAAGTAAAATTAATATTAAATAGCAGCCGTACTCCAACTTAGCTCTACTTCTGAAGAACTTTCAGTTGCTTAATTAAATCTTTATAAGTGTCTTCTTATCAATTGTCTTCGGACCCAGAAAGAAATAAGCCATTTAACAACCACCATCATGGACATAATGGAAGATTTTCACCATTACGAGAAGTAAAAAGCACTTTACACACTGCATGACGTGCTGTTTGCAGCTTATTGCATGGTGTATACTGTGTACGTTTTTTTTATGCTACTACAAATAAAGACGTATGATGAACAAATATTACAGTGGTCAACATTTGAAGTGGATCAAATCCTTTCATCAAAGTTATACATGAATTTTGACCAATACCCGTTCTTGTCTTAGGACAACTTTGATGAACTTTTTTTTTGATCCTACATACACTGTATTCAGAAAATATGAAAGAAAAATCTTTGCTCGAGAATCAAACTGCATTCAGACAGGATTACGAGCCATTTGAAAATTTTCATCAATAAATGTATTAGGCACAAAGTAGATGTGCTTATAACAAAGACGTACAAATGTAAAAAACAAACAAAAAAACCCTCACATTTCTCTTTGCTGCTGTTGTTGTTGAGATAATCTGGACGTAAGGTTGGAAAATTATCCTCATCATCAGATACTGCAAGAAAAAAAATAGCACCCTTTTTTAGCAGTGTTACAACAAACAATTCAAGCAATTTGAATGTGCACTCTCATCCATTTAAAGAGAAGGATCACACAAAAATGAGAATACCGCCAACTTTTACTCACCCTAATGCCGTTCCAAACCCATAAGACCTTTGTTCATCTTTGAAACAAAGATATTTTTTATATTCTCTCAGCCTTCCGGTCCATGTAACCAAAACTTTCACACATTAAAAAGTAAAAAAAACACATCGTAAAATAAATCTATACGTGCCAAATGGTTTAATCCAAGTCTCCTGAGGACACACGATTGCTTTATATGATGAACATATATTTTATTCACATAAGCCAGATCAACACACCATAGAGCATATCAAATATGGTAAACTGAAGTTAAACCCTGCTTGCTTGGCGCATGAGAAACAACCTCATTGGTTCTTACAAATCAAGCAGGCATGACTGAGCTTCAGTGTACCATATTTGATAAAAGGACGAAGCATTTAAGTTTTGTTTGCGTGGACCTTTACTGGAGGGACAGAAAATATCTTCTTTTGTGTTTCAAAGAACACCATTAATGACAATTTTCTATTTTAGGTGAACTATCCCTCTGCACAATATAAAATGGCACTCCTCTAAATACGAAAGGAGTTTGACTGGGAAGTTTTCTCCTGTGTAACGCCAAATCGGCCCCTCAGCAAGATAAAACTCCCTGTATCATAACTGTTTTCCTCACCTTTGTCCCTGTGAAGCTCATCTTTACAGTCAGCATCTGCGCAGTTGTCAAAGTACCTCTGCAGAGTGTCCACCTGTCTGCAGAGAATGTCCCGGAAGGTCTCCATCTCTGCTAGCTTTTCCCGCAGACTGTATCCCTTCTGTTCAACAGTTTGCAAATAAACATTCAATTGAAACTACAAGAGATGTTGCAAGAGTTGGGACTGTGGAGGCAGAGGCTGATTCTCACCTTGAAGGAGGATGCGGAGGTGGTGGAAAGGCCACTGGCGGCAGAGGTGAGGGACAGTAGGGAACCATGGCGGCGGAGACTGCTCTCAGACCCGTAGCCTGACTCAGCCTGCACACAAAAAACAACTAGGTAACTTCACACTTGTTTGAAAATAACATTTAATGAATCATGGGGCAGTGAAGTGTATGGTCGAAGCTGTGCAGTGAAAAAGACAGAACTGAGACAGACTGAACATTTCTAACACTTGCAAAGATATAAAGCAACTGTTAGGATCAATGCTTAAAATCGCCAGTTATCAAATGATGAATGATAGTTGGATGAGAGTCACATCTGATATTTTATTTAAGACTTACTTGTTAAGCTTGAAGCTTAAATATGAATTAGTTACTCAGTAGCATCAACCTTATTATTATGAGTTTAGCTTTACCAAAGTAAGATTTGTATGTTCACAATGAATTGAATGTGTGCAAAATAATTCACAGGAAAGCAGGAGGAACACAGGCGTTCCAAAAATGTTAGAGGAATGAATTACGAAAAATCAAAGTTACGAATTTATAAAGGTTTAGAATGGATTAAAAAAAAAAGTTTTCAATTCTCAACCCTACTAATTCTAAGGATAAGAAAGGATATTTGGAACAATATAAAACTACCAGTTGGTAAGCTTTTTAAAATGTTTTTGAAAGAAGTATTTTATGCTCATTTAGGATGCATTTATTTGGTTAAAAATACAGTAAAAACTGTAATATTGTGAAATATTAATACAATTTAAAATAATTGTTTTCTATTTTAATATGTTTTAAAATGGCAAAGCTGAATTTTCAGCATCATTACTCCAGTCTTAAGAGTCACATGATCCTTCAGAAAACATTCTAATATGCTGATTTGGTGCTCAAGAAACATTTCTTATTATCATCATCAATGTTGAAAACAGTTGTGCTGCTTTATGTTTTTGTGGAAACCATGATACATTTTTACAGGATTCTTTGATGAAAAGAACTTTAATAGTTCTATTCATCAAAAAAAGTTTAATAGAACAGTATTTATTTGAAATGGAAATCTTTTGTAACATTATAAATGTCTTTCTTTAATGTCACTTTTGATCCATTTATATAAATAAAATATTCCTAAAATAAATAAATAATTTTTTTATTAAAGCTTTTGAACAAAAGTATATAATCTAACATTATAAAACCATCATAAAATTAATTCAAATTAATATTAACAATCTTAGAGTTGTGTTACATTCACGTGTGCAAATGATAATATTTGATCTATACAAATAGACCTGTCTCTTTGAATGACATAGGTATGATATAGGCATGGACACAAGGAACAAAATTGCTGTTGCATGGTTAACTGTACTTCTGTTCTGGCCCGTTACACCACCTGACAAAGTAACAGAAGCTGCATACATGCGGAAGAAGGCTGATGCTAAACATTATAATACAATGTCGCAGACATCCTCTCCCCATCTCAATCCCACATCAATATCATGATACTGTAAATACAGTTCCTGGCAGAGCCTTGAAGGAATCCAGGTATAAACTGAAAGTGTGCATGACTGTGCATCCCTCTAAGAAAAGGAAAGTTCTGAATCAGATTTTTAAAGTTCTGATAATAATTAAGCAAGGAGGATGCATTAAATTGATCAAAAGTGACAGTAAAGACATTTATAATGTTACAACAAAATTTAATTTGAAATAAAAGTTATTTTTTAACTTTCTATTCATCAAAGAATCCAGAAAAAAAGGTTTCCACAGAAAGCAGCACAACGGTTTTAATCCAGCTTTTCCATCACAGGAATAAATAAAATAAAATATAATATAGTTATAGTAAATTGTAATATATAAAATAAATGCAGCATAACAGACCGTATTTCAAAAACATTTAAAAATCTTACCGACCCCAAACCTTTGAACGATAGTGTAAAAAGTCCCATTAAGTGCAATCAGTACTCGCATAACTCTTTTATTTGGTCAGAAGACACTGTACCTGACAGGAAAATCCTTCGATTCAGTCCTTTCATGAGTGCACCGTAAAACTGCTGACACTTGGCTTGTGGAAGACTTAATTAAAGTGCTTTAACTAATAGCCAATGACAGATTGGCAGATTGTTAAATGAAACTATTATTATATGGATCATCCTTAAACTGCAACAAAAACCTAATTTCAAGAAAAGCTGGAATAACCTGCTTCAGTCTTGCTTCGTCCCAATCAATGAATGATGGAAATGATTACTGTAATTGAATTCCCCAGGAAAATCATGTCGGTGGTCATGAAAACATGATGAATGGTTGAGTAAGAGTGCTGGATGGTGAGAAGTAAATGACATGAGTTAAAATGCTAATGTGCTAAAGCCCACCATTTGCCCATTCCAGCAGCCAAAGCAGGACAAGGCACTGCAGTCCTGAGTACTTGGCCCCAGCATGACCACTACTCTTTTCAGATGCTCCCAAAAGCACTCCTTCAAGGCGGTCACAGAATTCCCAGTTCTTTCTCCAGACACTCCAAGAATTCCCAGTTCTCTATCCGGACACTCCTAGGATTCCAAGTTCTCTCTCTGGACGCTCCAAGGATTCTCAGTTTTCTCTCGGACACTCCTTGCTGGACACTCCTAGAATTCCCAGTGCACTGACTGCAGACTATTTCACCAGCACATGGTCAAGCAGGAACGGAGGAGGAGACAAGCATTCGCAATGATGTGAAGAAATGATGTGAGGTGGGTTTCTGAAGCAGAATAAAACCAGAGAGATTGTGGGTGGGTCTGCAAAGCATGTGGAGGAGAGTGAGTGAGATGGCAAATCATACAAACACTGAAACTCCCAGAGCTGCCGCACACACTCCACTCACCTAAAAGCAATATAACCAACATAAATCATCCAGAAGTCCTGCCGTTACTTTGGCCGCATCTAATCCAGCAGCATGAATGTGTAAGTGAATGTGTGAGCGTGTGTGTTTAAGGAGATCTCAGATCCTGCTGGGCGTGTGCTCTCGTCTCGGTCTCTTGTGCTGTACTCCTCATCTCAGAGCTCATCTTAAAGTGGATCAATGCATTTAAGGACTGCACCAACACCTAAAACCACTGAGATCCAATCAAGCTCCTTTATTTTGGTTCAGAGGTCTTCTTGCTGGGCAGGGCTTTCAAAGTAGCCTCTTCATGCAAATGAATATACTCATGAATTATACATGCAGCTGGACGACTGTGAGCGGAAAACGCCCATCTGCCCCAGCCTGCATCACCCACGCACGCACACACACACACTCACCTCGATGAACGGAGAGTCGCGATAAACAACGCTGACCTGAGTGCCAACAGCCTCTCTACTAATGTGCTCTTATGTTAGAGGAATGGTGATTCAAATAGCATTTTTAGATTTGAAGCCGTACAGATCAGAAAGAAGAGGCAGGTCAAAAAAACAGATTATTCAGGTCAGTTTGTGTTTAGATAAGAGATTTTCAGAAGATAGATTGACATGAGTAAGGCTTTAAATATTGTATTTTATGTGGTATCAACTACCACATATACCACACATACAATTATGTGACTGTACAAGTCACACAAATGCAGCATCATTTGCACTAGGCTGACAAAATCTTTGACACACTAATTGTAAGTCAATTGAACAACTCTTGGTAACCAGTGGCTTAGCGGACAGGCACACACAAGTTAATAATGTAATATTATATATGGGCGAAACAAATTTGCCAAACGCTCAGAGCAAGCGCTCTAGAGAACGTCAAATGTTTCCATTTACTATTTGTTTTTGCAGCGGTGAGCAATGTAGCCAATCACAGACATCTGTTGATCTCTCGAATAGCGGTCGACCGATATATCACCATTGTCGATATATTGGCCGATATTTGCCATTTTTTAAATATCATAATCCGCCGATATGTCTTTGTTTGTCCGATCTGTTAGAAGCGGGACCTTTATTTTGATGGCGCTGAGAATGCCTGAGCACACAGTGCTATCATTGTCCAACTTCATTAGTTATGGTCTCGGTTCAACAGTTTTGTCTAAACAACTGTATTCGAAAAAGTATTATAGCGTAGTAGTGTAGTATAATACTTTCTTATTTACCATCAGCATTCAGCAAATACGCATTTATATAATTTAAACAAATCTTTGAATATCTAATGAACATTTAATTTCACAAACCTTGCAGAAGCCAGCTGAGCTGTCAGATATTTGTATCCTGCATGAAGTGAATGTGGACAGGAGGAGAGGTCAGCTTCACTCGACAAACTTTAAACCCTTGATTTCAAACTATGCTGTGCTATATAGAGTTGCCCACTATGTTCTATTCATGTCATTTTCACGGTGTTCTGTATGTAAAATTAGTCACCTTGTCTTTATTTAAAAAAAAAAAAATAGAAAAAAGATTCCCAGTACGCACAAAACAGACTATGGAGTGCCCTGTTGGTTACAGTTTACTTCCTTTTTATTCATATTTTTAAAAACAATTTCTTTATGTGAAAAATACTGTAATACAATTAAGTTGCTATCTAAAGTAAGTCTGTTTAATTTAGAGATTTATTTTAAATACATTTTCTAATTATTTATTTATAATTTATTAAATATTAATTCAAATAAATAAATAAAATATATACAGGCTGTCACCGGCCACCCTGCCGATGTAATATATACATATAACATACACTCACCGGCCACTTTATTAGGTACCCCATGCTAGTAACGGGTTGGACCCCCTTTTGCCTTCAGAACTGCCTCAATTCTTCGTGGCATAGATTCAACAAGGTGCTGGAAGCATTCCTCAGGGAGTTTGGTCCATATTGACATGATGGCATCACACAGTTGCCGCAGATTTGTCGGCTGCACATCCATGATGCGAATCTCCCGTTCCACCACATCCCAAAGATGCTCTATTGGGTTGAGATCTGGTGACTGTGGAGGCCATTTTAGTACAGTGAACTCATTGTCATGTTCAAGAAACCAATTTGAAATGATTAGAGCTTTGTGACATGGTGGAAGTAGCCATCAGAGGATGGGTACATGGTGGCCATAAAGGGACGGACATGGTCAGAAACAATGCTCAGGTAGGCCGTGGCATTTAAACGATGCCCAATTGGCACTAAGGGGCCTAAAGTGTGCCAGGAAAACATCCCCCACACCATTACACCACCACCACCAGCCTGCACAGTGGTAACAAGGCATGATGGTTCCATGTTCTCATTCTGTTTACGCCAAATTCTGACTCTAACATCTGAATGTCTCAACAGAAATCGAGACTCATCAGACCAGGCAACATTTTTCCAGTCTTCAACTGTTCAATTTTGGTGAGCTCTTGCAAATTGTAGCCTCTTTTTCCTATTTGTAGTGGAGATGAGTGGTACCCGGTGGAGTCTTCTGCTGTTGTAGCCCATCCGCCTCAAGGTTGTGCGTGTTGTGGCTTCACAAATGCTTTGCTGCATACCTCGGTTGTAACGAGTGGTTATTTCAGTCACTGTTGCCCTTCTATCAGCTCGAACCAGTCTGGCCATTCTCCTCTGACCTCTGGCATCAACAAGGCATTTCCGCCCACAGAACTGCTGCTCACTGGATGTTTTTTCTTTTTCGGACCATTCTCTGTAAACCCTAGAGATGGTTGTGCGTGAAAATCCCAGTAGATTAGCAGTTTCTGAAATACTCAGACCAGCCCTTCTGGCACCAACAATCATGCCACGTTCAAAGTCACTCAAATCACCTTTCTTCCCCATACTGATGCTCGGTTTGAACTGCAGGAGATTGTCTTGACCATGTCTACATGCCTAAATGCACTGAGTTGCCGCCATGTGATTGGCTGCTTAGAAATTAAGTGTTAACGAGCAGTTGGACAGGTGTACCTAATAAAGTGGCCGGTGAGTGTATATATATATATATATCTGTCATCGGCCATCCTGCTCTTTAAGATATCGGCAATCAAAAAAACAATATCGGTCGACCACTACTCTCCAACGCAATGGCCAATTACCGGTAGGTGTTTAATTTCTAATTCACTCACCGCTCAAAACAAGTTTTTGTTCAGTGCAGAGTTCTGCAAGCTCATGAATCCTCATTCCTCTCATTAACAAACAAAGATGCAAATAAGAGATTCATTGTGCAGTGTAGACAGCTTCATTGATTATAATGAAACTTTGTAAGATCACAATGAACTGAGATGAGTGACAGCTTTTAGTGATTATAAAGGGAGCACTATTTGCGTGCTTTCGAGGCTAGAAAAACAGTCAAAATCACATAGTGATAAACAGCACGGGACAAAAACGCAACCTAAGTGTGTGCAACCGAAGGAAGGAAAAAAAATTGGGGATGAGAGTTTGAATAAAGAGACCAGAAAGTCTCCTGCCTGGAGTTGTAAAAGAGCTTTTTAGTCACATGACAAAACTGCAATAGCACTCTTCACCAGCAGATAGCAGAAGTGGCCGTGAGTGTAAAACTGCCAGAGAACATTTGCATTAGATTTTTGCTGTTTGTTTAGTAATGCTTTGAAACAATCTGTATTGTATAAAGCACCATATAAATATAATATTAGACTTGACTAATATTACAATGTTCCCAAAAGGTCCTTTAACAACTAAACTCACTGTTGAGTTCTCATAAGTCCACAGAGCTTTAGTTTATGCTTTTATAACCTTCAAAACAAGCAAAGAACTTAATACTGTTTCACTTTCAGATTCTTCTCAACACACAAGTCAAACATAGAACATTATGATACTTCAAGAAATCTACCTGCTAAATAGCTGCCTGAAAACACAACTGTACACACACACCCTTTCCTGGATCAAAACACCAGCTGTGTAGTAACAGCTCCACTCCTTTTATTGAGTTCAACTCCACCGCACATGTGAGAGTCATTCAAATCAGCACATTCCTCAAGACCCTGCCATTGTAAATCGGTCCCATGATACGTCACCGCAAACCAATGCCAGATACAATAAATATCTTGTTTCTCCTCATGCAAAAGAATCATAACCAACATGTCACTCGGATAGATGAGCTAAAACAATCTCATATATTCGTACTTCCCTGGCAAATAGCATGTAAAAAAGTACAGTACAGTATGTCGAATGAGTAATGATACAGTAAGCAAACAATAGGTACTAAGAAATTGTTCGACAAGACAAGTAAATTATTTTCGAAGTTGCTGTTAGTATATAATAGGTCAAAGGTCAATGCCAACATTGCAGGTGCAGTATGTGCAGGGATGCATCAGACTACGGTCAAAGGCACATAAGAGTGCATGTGATAAAGAAGAGAAAATATAGTTTAAGCAAACACATATTAAGTTCTTAGAAATGTACTCTTGTCGGTTTTATTTTGTTTTGTAAAAAAAATACATGAATGACTCTTAAAAATTGTCTCATGGAGTATTAATTGACGAGTAATAAAATATTCTTTATAAATTCAATATATGCGAGTATACACATTTTAATTATTTCCAAATACATATTTAAACATTTATATGTTAAATTATTAATTTATAAACAATTTTTTAAATTAAAAACGTGCTCAAAGTCAAGGTTTATCCAAGTCACTATATGAATTGCATTTGAATAAATTAATAGATATGCCAAAAAATAAGCATCACGTCATTGATCTACCACACCTGCATACCTAAAAAACTAATTTAATCAATAACCGAGATGGTCAAGTCCCTTATCAAATTCAGAACATACTATGAAAAACACAAATTTTAATTCAAACCGAATCCTCTAGAAAGGACTCCACAGTGGCTCTTCTGTGTACTCAAATGACACAAGGAAATTATAGCTAAAAAGAAAAAAGAAAAAAGGTATGCAGGACACATTCCACTGCACAGTGCCTCAAACACCCTCCATTCCTCAAAGGAAATAAAACACCCATTCAGGTTCTGCAACACAAACATGATCACTCACTATCAGAAAGACACTGGAGCTGGAGCAGTTTATCTTGCTGCTTCTGAGGGACTCACCTTGTGAAGTTCGATGGTATCGATCCACTGCTGCCGGAGCAAAGGATGTTCAGCCCTCAGGTACCAGATGCTGTCGTTCACACTGATGTCAAACCGGCATTCATCAAACTCGTGAGGCTGAAAGAGAAAGCATCAAAAACAAGAACAGATCATAACAATGAACATGTTTGGAAAATGGATTAAACATGGGCCATAAACCTTCCATTCTCTCTGCCATTGTTTTTGGAGCACCTTTTCCTGCTGTTCCTGATAAACAACTCGCTGACACCACATCATATATTTGCATTTATTGAATAGGTCAGTGGACCTGTGGAAACATTTTCAGACCACTTTAACAGAAAAACAAAAACTACTAGCCATCTCAAAACAAGCTTTAAGTAGTGCACGAATTATCCATAAAGTATAACTTTACCAATCAATTCTTTTGCCAGGCTATCATTTTGTGCTTAGTTAGCTAATGAACCTAAATGAGCCAACAATTCAAGGTTTAACTGCTAATAAGTTGCACTGAACACTTACACATACAATGACATCTGACTGTCAGTTCCATTATTGAAGAAAACTGAAACACTAGCACAAATTAATATCAACAAAATCAGTTGTTGATAAATCCACAGATTAAGTAAATGTTGGTTTTGGTCAATTATAATTACTTAAAGTAGTTGTTTTACTAATTTAGGATTAGGTTATAAAAAAATATAAATAATGATCAATTATATATTCTTATAAATATGCAGTTTTTATGATATCTAGAGGTATTAGCTTATACCCCTACCCCCCAAAAAATGAGGATATGCACAATTTTAAATGAAAAACCATTGTCTAAACGGGCTAAAACCAACAAAAACTTAAGAGTGCACTCAAAAAACGATCTGCCTTAAAGTGTCCCTATTATTCTATTCATAAAGGTTCCTAATTTTGTTTTGGAGGTCTCCTACAATAGGTTTACATGCATCCAAGGTAAAAAAAAATTTAAAATAATTCTCATAATATACATTACAGAATCACCTTTTTTTCTCACAGTGTTTGAATTGAAATGGTTCAATAAAGGATTCTGTTTCTCTAAACCCCTCCTTTCCGAGAGCCTACTCTGCTCTGATTGGTCAGATGGCCTAGTCTGTTGTGATTGGTATACCGCTTAGACGCTAGCGTGTCTCTGTATCGGAAATGAAACGCCATTTCCATGTCTGGATTTCAGCTTACTCAGCACTTGCATACTCAGTAGGCTAACTTTGGCGTTGGTTTTACAGTCCTCATCCTTTGGAAGGGCATGCAAAGTGGATTTGCTTTCGCAGCGCAGAAAACAGCGTCCTCTCAACACAAACCAAACTCTTTCAGGTCTCAGCTACAACCACAGTGTTTGAGAGCGAGTCAAAGTAGACATTGTTCGTGGGCAGCCAATAGGCAAGACCATAGGCTTTCAATGGCATTATGCAAATTTGTTACAAACCTACATATGGTTTGTGCAGGAAGTAAGTAAGACTGGATTTGTGGTAAAAAAACTCATTTCAGGCAGTTTAGAATTCTCATTTTGGAGACAATAACTCCATTTATTGTGTACTTACTTGTCTTTGACCCATGAAACGTTGCCTTTTTACATTCACAAACAGCTTATATAACACTGCATGAAAGGTAATATCCAAAAAAAATATATCATAATAAGGGCACTTTAACTATAATTTCATGCATTCTGTAGTGGACATTAGGGGTGGTGAAAAAAATCGATTATTGATTAATCGCGATTATGTTATGGACGAGTATGAATCGATTATTACATTTTCAAAAATCGATTTTTTATTATAAAAATTTTTTTTGCATTATTTTATTTTGTAAAAAATGTTATACCGGAAGTTGAACGTCACGAACGCGCCCAGTTCCAGTAGCAAGCGCGTGTAACGGCAGCCAGAGCGAGTGAGAGCAGGTGTGCCGGAGACACACTGGCTGCGTGGCATGAGCGTCTCAGCTGCGTGGTGTGTCCGTTTTTATTTCGGCTCCCATGTTAACAGGTTAGAGCTTGCATGAGCCGCGCGGAAAACGCGTGCATGCTAGAAATAGAACCGACGCCAATTTTTCACGCGACACGCAAGCGTGTTGGAAGCATTTCCAGGCAAAATAGAATAGGAAACGATGTTTATATGTCATTTTGTACACGAATACATATTAATAAATTACATTTTGATGTTTGAAAGTCTAGGTTTTGATATAAATTCAGATATCAATGTAATTTAAACAAATAATAATAATAATTATCGATTTTCAAATATTGCCATTATTTTGGCCTATATACAAATTTATTTCATTTTTATTTTTTAAACAATCGAGTCCTGGTGTTCACTACAGAGGTCATAGCATAACATATGAATAAAATATCTCTTTTTTTTTCATTTGTTTCTTATGGTCTTAACAATGTGATTACATGAAAAAGAAAAAAAACTTTAGAAAAAAAAAAACGTTCTGGGCCTCAGGAGGATATAATGATAATAAGCTACAATAACAACATAGTGTGTCTTCTGAGTGACGGTCCATCATCAGGCTAAATATAGGCTCTTTAAAGCTACACAAAATTTATAAATGTTATTGAAATAAACAGACAGCCCACTTCCCTATTTTTCGGATTTTGGAAGATGTGTGATAACAGTTGAAATTGTTGTCGTAAAGGCAAGAGGCAAGAGTTGAAATTGTTGTAGTAAGGATTAACACACCGCTAACCCAAATGTAGACTGTCCCTCTATGTCACCTAGCAGCAGCGGCGCCGCGTCAGACACGTTTCTGGTGTGCAAAGACACAGAAAACGCGACGCAGCTGACACGCAACAGAAACGCCACGCTCACGCCACGCAGCCAGTGTGTCTCCGGCCTAACGAGCGTTGCTTGCTACAACACCTTGTCTTTCAAGAAGAAAATTGTCCAATTTCTACAGTATGTTGGTTCTGATCTACTTCCTAAAGGAAATAAGCCTTTCATTTATTTGTTATTGTTTAGTTCAACTTGATGAGTCACAACACAATGTGATGTATTCATTTCTGTGTTCTACAGAACATAAGCTACATACAAATAATTTTGAAGTTATAACTACACGACACAGAAAGTGCTTTGAGTTGTTGTTACTCAATAAAAGAGTTAAGTAATTCAGCAGCTGACTTTTTTTAATACTGCAAACACTTTGTAGTGTATTTTCGTTTACTGTTGTGAAATGGAAAATCAATAATCGCTAATCGAGAATCGTTAATAATCGAAAATCGACTGTAATCGAATCGGGACTTCAATAATCGTAATCGAATCGAATCGGGAAATCAGACAGATTAACCACCCCTAGTCGACATACTTTGTAGCATTTTCTGCAGGGGTAGTGGGCATGGTTGGTAACAGATCTAACTAGTGAGTGGTTTGTATAACAGCTCTTATCAGAGAAAGTGCACTGATCCAGGCCAGAGCAGGGCTGCCGAATTCAATCAGTGCTCGAGGCATATCGGTTCACATCAGATCATCTCTGTTTTCCAGAGGGGACTCTGGGACCAGACCGGCTTCAAAGACTTCCAGGGTTTCACAGTCAGTTTGTAGAGATTCATTCGGCCAGAAGATCAAAACTGGGTTCTACAACAATCTTTTGAGCCCATGATCTTTAACAGTGGCCCTTCAGACAAGTTCCCTTTTTCAGACCAAAGAACATCCCCCAATACATGGCCATCCCCCTCATGGCCATCTGGGCCATGAGCATTGCGAATCTAAGAGCAGCGTTTTCTTTTTTACACATGCCCATTTTTATTGGAACAGGCAAAGCGAGAACTGCTCCTATCACCCTTTTCACAATGCGATATGTGATATGCACTGTCCGTCACAGGACGTTCCTGCGGTTCTGCTCACCCTGTTCTAATCCTCAAGACTACTTCAATTCACTCAATACCAGAACAATGTAGCAATAGTGCGTCAACCTAAATACATATTACAATGCAGCTTTGTTGGACATTTCCTTGTAGTCTTACTGCCGAGACATCTGCACTTGAACGACCTGCACAACACGCAACAGTCCAGCTCATAGACATACAGCAATATAAAGTACACCAATATTAAAACAACTATTTTTTATTTAAACAAGATTGGGATAAAAGCTAGATCATTTTAACTCCATGTTTACTTTACTTTTATGGGAATAGATTAAATCAATTGCTTTGTGCAGAAAATGTGATCTTTCTGACAACAAACAATTGAAATTCATCTCTTTGTATAGAACACAACCTCTGATAAGTCAAATCACGTATCCAAAGCAGCTTCATAGTAATAAACAGGAAAATAAGTTAATGTTACAAAGTTCATCAATTATGAAATTACTTTAATGTCAGCCATTAAGCAGCTCTACAGAAGACAATAGTGTCATTATTCAGTTCAAGTCAGTGAGTTCAATGTTGATTCAATTTAGTTTAATAACAGTGGCCATGTTGAAAAGTAAATTGCAGCTATATTTGAGATAACCTCAACAATTGTGAAGTTTGAATTTCAATCACATTTTGCCAAAGAATATTAAAAAAAAAGCACTGTTGTAAAGTAGGTTTCTGTGTTAAATCAGACTGCATTATATTATATTACATTATATTATAATATTATTGTATTACTTTTCACAGCATTAAAGTAAATCATATGGGCCTATTTTAATATATTTTATTATTATTATTATATTATATACAATTTCAATTTAAAAATGCATTAGGGTTACACTGGAACTGTAAGTGACACGAACAAAACAGAAATAAACCGTTTTTCACAATTAACTGTATAATTGTCGGCACAGACTTCATGATTGTGACAGGCCTGGTCAACATATCAATCATTTTTTTTAAATATTAATTGTCTTTTAAGGCCCATGGTAATGATAATTCCATAAAGTAGTCAGGTATAGTCTTGCAGGATGTTTAGTATAGATCACACTAGGATGTGTCTGTCCAAAGCAAGCAGAGAAGTACCCTTGTACTTTCTACTCAACTTCATGTTCTGCTTTGTCCACCCTGAAACAATCAAGGCGGTTCAAGAGAAACCCGAAAAACAAGTTCGACAGCTTCTCTCTGGCAATAGCAGATGGAGGATGAACACTGAATGACGAACAGGAGGCATCACTGCTCAAAAATGTTCAGACTGTAGTACAAATCAGCTCTTTGCAATTCATATCACTGTGAAGTCAAGATAAGCCTTTGATAATCATACAGTAAACATAACAGGATGATCTTCAGATCAGCCTTACCGCGATGACAGCCTTGCTGAGACAGACGGACCCTCTACAGCCGTATTCCTTCTCATCTGCTGACCTGTAGTAACTTAGAATATTGCCTTTCAGCGCAATCCAGCGGTCCTGCCATCCATGAATGTAGTTAGTCCACTGTAGACAAACAAAGAGTTTAACATACTTGATATCACATGGCTTATTGTTATCACCGCATGACTCCACGACTCCACACTTGCAACATAAAGATTAAACCTCCATGAAGGTTCAAGGCTTCAAAGTTCAGACTTTCAGTGTTGGGAAAATTACTTTTGAATGCATTAGGAATAGGATATTGCTTAAAATAATTAAAATAGTAACTAATTGTGTTACCTAGTTACTTTTTATGGAAAGTAATTCAACTGGGCTGGGCTTGCTTGTTTGTTTTTAATAAAAAAAAAAAAATATATATATATATATATATATATATTTGCCATATGTTAAAAGTCCCTTAAAACACCCAAAGTGAAATGAATAAGCCTCAGGCTGAAATAAATGCAAATTCAAGCCTGTACAATAGAGTGTGCAGTTCAAACAAACCTTTCAGCTGTGCTGCCAATCTGGATCACAGAAGAAGAGAGTTCAACACTCTTACTTCAGCAATAAAAAAAAAATTTATCTAAAGTACTTTTTGCTTATTCATACGGTTGAATTGGATCCTCGATGGTCAGCAGCAAAGACATTGCTTAATAAAGTGAGATTATACAAAGTATATTTGTGTAATTTAACATAATTATTGCCGGTTTGTGTAATATTCCGAGTTTGAATTTGACTGTTTTTATTAATTTTGAGGAATTATGAATCTGTTTTTGTGCAAGTGAGAGGAGTAAATGCATGATCACATTTAGTCTAGAACTAGAATAACCATCATGTTTAGACTGCGCACACAACACCTTTGCACCCCATTTCTTTCAACATGGGGACAAGAGAGCTGTCAGTCAATAAATGGAAGTACAAAGTAACTTGCGTGACTTATTTGCAAAAGTAACTACGGTATTTTGTTGTAAATTTAAAGGTAATGTGTTACTTAGTCTCGTGTAGCCAGACCTTCAGACTGACGGCAGAAGGTCTGGACTCCATAGCAGCTTTCATTGGCCAAGGACCGCCCAAAAGCCATCTGATTGACATGAAAAGCAACCAATCAGTTTGTTTTGTTCCACGTCATGTTTAGGGGAGTGCAATAAAGTCGATGTCCCTACAAAAACAGACCAGTGTGTAAAACTCTTGGATGTATTTTAAAGAATCTATGGCGCAAACTTTACATACTTCACACACTTAAGCGCTCATAGTCACAGTTGAAAACAGTAACACGACGGCTTTTTCCATGAGGGGGTTTGACGCCACAGCATCTTTCCAATGTTGTGTGCCATATGCATCAGACATTCAGTCAATTGTCCGTGGGCATGACGTTTAAAGGTATAGCGGAGGATTTTCTTTTTCCGGGTGGGTAGCCTATACTATTGGTCCACCTAAGTGTCAATCATTCTGGTGATATGTTAACGTAAGGCCGTCGTACGTGCTCGCCCCTATGTAGTTTTCGTTTTCTGCGCATGCGCACTTTCAGGTGTATTATGTGTGATGAGTTACGGTTTCAGCCATTCCTTTGAAAATGGCTGAGGGTCGAAAGAGAAAAAATGTATACTAAGTGTATGATAAGAAGAGAAAGGCCGCAGAGAAACAAGACCAGAGTGATTTTGGGTGAATATTTCACACGCTGGCGTGCGCTAAAAGCACAGGTTGGGCTTCCCACTGATGCCGCAGTCGCGAAGATTCTACTAGACAGGTAAAGTTTGTCATGCTATTTGGAGAAATCCATTTAAAATCACTGCTAGTAAAAGTTTAATAGGCGTTCCCTCTCGGGAGCAAATAGAGTGTTGCGCATGTGCATTTTTAAACAAATTGGAGAGGGCGGGTCTTCTCTAAAATTCGGAAAGATCCTCCGCTATACCTTTAAGGCTGTGACTATGGCTGCATCCGAAATCTCATACTTTCCTACTATATAGTAGACGAAACACAGTATGTGACAAAAGTAGTATGTCCGAATTCACAGTAGGCCTACTCATAAAAGAGTAGGCAACAAGTACCCGGATGACCTACTACTTTCCTGGTGGGATTCTCAACTGTTGCTGAATGGAGGTGAAGCTACACAACTGACACTGGAAGGTCACATGATAATGACAACATGGTAGATGTAGTACATCCAATTTACATTAACAATATACACATTCATACTATATAGAATGTACTTTTTTAGCGGTCGTGAAGTAATTACTTAATTCAAAATAAGTACTCAAGAGAGTATGCGATTTTGGACACAGCCTATGTGTTTAGTTACTTAGAACTTAGAAAAGTAACTAATCCTTAATGAATTTCCCCCAATGGTGACTTATTTACGTTGTTCAACACTGGTGACTTGCATTCATTATTTAAATTACAATAATTGAATGGGTTGATTAAGTATAATTTTTTTTAACAACTTATAGATGCCATATGTACTACTCTTTCAACAAGATATGTAAAAAATGTAATTATAAAAATAAAATACAACATGAAATATTCCCCAAGATGCCAAGTCTCTTTGCTAATGACTGCTAACTATATTGTTGACAGTAACTCAAATACTAAAGAAAAATGTATGTCACTGCATGCTCTAAAAAAAAATTTTCAACATTCCTTGATTCACCAAATAAAACATAAGCAAAAGTTAATTACAACCTAAATATAAATTGCATTTACAATAAACGCTTTTAAATTGATTAAAAATGAATTAAGTGTGTTTTATCAAGTCAATTATACCTTTGTTTATTTTCCTATTATTACAATAAGTATATTTATTTTTAATTTCTGCAGATTTGGTCCTCCATACACTGCAGGTTGAAGTTGGACATGTCTGAAAGCGATGATTCCCTTATGAACTATTGGCTCAAAAACCGTTCGGGAACCAATTGAGTCAAATTTGTTTAGAACGATTGTCACAAAATCGGTTCACCCGTTTCATTGAAAAGATTATTTTCAAAAGAACGTGTCGTTTCGGAATCGGACATAGTTTATGTTACTGATAGCATTAGGATAGAACATGCGCAATCAAAACAACTATCAAAACGCTGCAACGCTTCAGCGACATTAAACAAACGAAAGTCACGTTAACTCACTAACCTTAACGTCAACAACACCAATTCTAATAACTGTTAAGTGTTAAACACTAATTAAAGTTGTAAAAACTGTAATGTTTTAGAGTAATCTAGGTTACCTTGCTGAGCGTGCCGCCGAGCTCGTCCAGCAGCTCTGACTCCGGGTCCAAATCCTCATCTGAACCCGACGAACTGCAGTCCGACATCAGGAAAGATTATGAAAAAAGTCCGCGATCGTCCAGCTTTTAATTTGAACTAGACTGTTAATTAAACGGAAAAAACATCAATACAGCTCTGACATCGCTTAAGGTCTGATGTAAAAAGTGCCAGGTGTGAAAGCCCATCCTACTCCAGTATCAAACATCTGATAAAACTAATGACGACATGCAGCGACGAGTTCAATATATCGCTGGAGTTTGTGTCTTCACGGCCACACTTGATCCTTACTCTAGGATAATCACGTGACCAGTGTTGCAATGGAACTAAACCATCAATACTGCACGTCTCCAGCAAAAATACGCTGTTAAGGTCTTGTCTTCTTTCGCCTATACACACGTTTTCGTTTGTCTTCTGGGTTTTAAAGTTTTGGCTTTTTATATCACCCCCTATCGGTAGTACGAAGTATTACATAAACCATGTTTCATCTCTTCCACTTGTTTACTCCAGGGGTCTGTCAAAACCTATCATATAACACGTACAAAAACAAACATAGTACCCAATTATTATATTTTTGGGCATGCTACCATGTTAATTTCATGGTATTCTTTGAAGTAACTCGAGTTCAATGTAAATACGATGGTTTATGAATAATATTATTATACAATAGGCTACAATGGTATGCATATCATTTGCTGGCTGTGGAACACCAGCAAGATCTAACAAAAACACATAGAGCAGATTTAATTATTTTTCTGAATTGTGCAGCACTTTGTGTCAACTTCTGTTGCTTTTTAATTAATTGGACATGACTTGGTCCTAAAGCCAGCATGAAACAGAAGTTGACATAGTCCTTTCTTCCCTATTGTGATAGTGAAACCAAAGGCTTTTTAAACAATAAAAAAATAGGGTGGGACTTGATTTTGTCTACCAGAAACTGATTGGTTTGTTGAGGTTTACTATTGCTGTGATCTCATGTGAGTGACAGATTGTCCCGCCCTTGTCATCAGATAAGAGATGAGATGTTGCTGCATGAGGGAGGTTAATTTTGAATAAAGATTACATTAAATAATTTATAATAAATACTGCAAAATTCCATATAAAAATAATTGTCCATTTTGATTTTCATGGTGACTTTTTTATTTGATTTTTTTTAAAAATCCGATCACTGTTCCACCATAGTACTTTTAGGGTATAGCCTTTATTAGGGCCCGAGCACCGATGGTGTGAGGACCCTCTTGGAATTGCTCTGTTTATTTAAATAATTCTATCCATGTCTTTAAAAAATCATAAAATCAGATCTTTAAAAGGAAAATAGAGAGCAATTATTTAAGCACCTGTAGTAATTATATTGTCTGGGTAGCCTTGACTAAGCGACCGTTCACACAACACCGTTTTCATCTAAAAACCACACATTTTGTATGCGTTTTGGCCATTCATTTACACAACAACGGCCTTTTTGGGGCCTGAAATCGCAAACATTTGAAAACGGGTTTCAAAGTGCAAGTTTTTGAAAAATACACTTTTATCGTGTCTGTGTAAACTACAAAATCGCACATTTGTGAAAATGGTGACGTCATGCGCATCATTTCACGTGTTCAGTCAGTCTATATGAATGTAGTATTTCTTTACAAAGTGAGATCGCCAACTACTGGCCTGGCATGAAAAATACAGCATTTCTAGTTGTCTTCGCAAAACGTTTTGACAACGTTGTAGTCTGTATGCAAAAAAACACGCATAGTTTTTAGTACATCGATATAAACGTACCCTTATGCAGACCACATTGTTCTTTTGTTCCGAATAGAACCATGAATCATCTGTTCTTCTGATCACGGACAGTTATAAACCGAATGGTCAATCCAACCCTAATAGCCACTCTTCAATGTCTCTCTCATAGGACTTGGCATCTTTTTGCCAGTCAATATGCCATCGCAGGTTTGCTATGACCTGGGTGTAACTGTCCCCTAGACTTTTCTTCCATTCCAGAAACTGTTGCTTATTGTAGCGGTGAACAGTTTGGGAGACACTGGGGTAGTCCAAAATTGTGCGTAACAGCTTGTCCAAGTCCTGACATACATCAGGAAAATTTGATGCAACATTTCTCAATTCTGACTCATCTTTGGACAAGTCTGTGGAAAAAAACATTCAACTCATTAACTTAGGACAGTTGTGATATGTAAGACATAACATCCCTGTTGTGCAGAATACTATGGCAAAAGAACGTATATCTGATTATCTTCAGAAGAGAGAAAAAAACTCACTAAAAAGCTGTGGGGGAACGGTCAAGCCATCTGCATATGTGATGTACTTCCACTCGCCGATCCTCAGCATATATGTGGAGGCGTTGGCATTGCAACCATGATATTCACTGAGCACCCAGCCAGGATGAGCCTCAGCTGACTGAACTCTAACCCCAGAAACCAGAGGAAGCAGCGAGTGACCACTGAGACCCCCTGGCTGTGGGACACCAGCAAGATCTAACATAAACACACACAGAGCGGATGGAAACAGATGAAAACTTTTACAGATTATAATTCATCCCAAAATTAAAAATTCTGAAATGACAGAAAATGAAGCATTTTTGCATTTCTTATTTATAATTTGTTATGTTTTATTTTATTACAATCGTGTTATTTTATTTCCATTTTCTTATGTTTTTTGAAAGAATCCTCTTATTCTCACCAAGGCTACATTTATTTGATCAAAAAGTCACAATTTAAAATAATTGTTTTCTATTTGAACATATTTTAAAATGTAATGCGTTCCTGTGTTATCACATTTTAAGGACTACAACAAACGGCTGGTAGGGACTACACAAGCTTCCTGCCGGGTTAGTGACATCACAAAGCCTAACATTTACATAAACCCCGCCCCTGGGAGCACGATTTATAGATTATCATGACAGAATATGTTAATCAATGACTAGAAGATAGTTAACTCCACATCAGCTACATACATTTATCAACTAACCATTCAGAAATGTCCTGTTGCATTCTATGTTGTCACTTCTTCTTGAGTCTCTCCATCTTTGTCCGGTTTGAACATAAAAGGCTAAAAGTTTTTGAAATGTTCAGTGCGTGTGTGAGGTAATCGGAGCTGCTAACACACAGGAGCTCTTGAAGCTCCGCCCTCTATGCTGGGAGCAGCAGCTCATTTGCATTTAAAGGGACAGACACACAAAAACGGCGTGTTTTTGCTCACCCTCAAAAAGTGACAATTTTAACATGATATAAAAAAATATCTGTGGGGTATTTAGAGCTAAAACTACACACTCTGGGGACATCAGAGACTTATTTCACATCTTGGGAAAAGGGCATTATACCACCCCTTTAAATATATATATTTTTTTATAACATTCTAAATGTCTTTATTGTAATTAATTGTGTCTTTGCTGAATTATTATTATTATATTTTTTGTGACTTTTTCTAGTTATATATACATCATGTTTTTTGTATTAGCTACATTTACCCCCAGTTTCACAGATGAGGCTTAAGCCTATTCACAGACTAGAATTCATGTTTGAGCTGTTTTAACTGAAAGCAGATTGCACTGGCATATTTTAAAATATGTCAGTGCCATTGTTTCGTCACAATACACACACCAGTAATGTTTTTTTCTAAGGCGCTACTGTCCTAATTAAACTAAGGCCTATTGATGGATTAGTCTCAGCCCTGTCTGTGAAACCAGGCCTTAAATGTATTTTGTTTTGGGCTAAAGTATGAACCTTTTTCTTCTTCTTAAGATTCACCCAAATACCAAGCCATGCTTTATTTTAAGTAACTGTTAACAGCCACAAAGAACCTCGGCCTATAGAAAAACAACATATTACCGGTATATTAATACTAGTAGAGCTACTACCAGTTCCCAGCCTTACCAAGCACAGTGGGATAAATGTCCACTAGTGATACAGGTAGACTGATTTCAAAGCCAGACTTTACTCCTGGGCCCATTATAAGCAGAGGGACATGAGAGCTGCCCTCAAACATGGACATCTTATAGAACTGCCTGTGTTCCATGGCCAGATCCCCATGATCCGAAGTGAAGAGCACGACTGTCCTGTTCAGTATGCCAGAGTCTCTGAGAGCAGCTATCACCTCACCTAAAAACACAGAATGACGTACATCAAATCAAGTGACAAAACAGCACTTAAAAGTGCATCTGGCTGCTCACCCAACATGCTGTCTGTTTCAGCACACATTGCATAGTAAAAGGCTCTTATGTCTCTGATCTCTTCTTCCGTGAAGTGGCCACTGCAGTTTTTGGTGAAGGTGGAGAAGAAATCCACAGGGTGCATATCTTCAAACCGCAACCACTTCGGAACAGACACTTGATCATGAGAAACCTTTGAGAGAAAACATAAAACATAAATCTGTCATAAAAGATAAACTTCCTTAGGGACTGACACTGCTATTACTGTACCATGCTGTGGATAAAATGATAATTATAATGAACCAAACTATACAAACATAATACTGTGTTTTTGTAATAGTGTTATTTTATTATTATTTATATACTATTGTAGCGTTTATTAATATTTTGAATAAGCTCTTATTTTGAAAATGTTAATGTTTTAATTTTAGTAATTGTATTTAGCCTATTTTTATTTTATTTTAGTTTTAGTAATTATATTTCAGTTAGTTGCCAAAGCAATATATATATTTTTTTTGTTAAAACTTTAAGTTTAGGGTTTTTATCTAATATTTATATTTTATTATTTAAGATTGATTTCAATTACAGAGAACTATTTTTATAGTTTAAATTTTTTTTTTTTTTTGAAGGTGTACCCAAATATTATACACATATAAAAGTGTCACTCATGGGATTTTACCATTGAAATTGTTAAACCAGGGCCATTTTTACCTGTGGGTTAACAATCCTGAGTTATCCTGTGCACAGTATTAATACAGTAGTTAACCCTGAGACAGTCATTCATATTGGGTTGACATGTTTTAACATTTCACACTCTACATTTATGGCCTGGGTTGCCATAATTGACTATATTAACACATTTACAGTGGTGTGAATAAGTTATTACCCCCATGCTAAATTTGCCTAAAAAGAGGAATAAAAAATCATCTTTTGGAAATTGATCTTAATGCCTTAATTAGAAAAATGAGGAAAAATCCAACCTTTAAGGACACCAATTTTCTTTGTGTATGAATAATGTATCATAAATAAATAAATGTTCTTCCTTAAAATACAGGGTGCATAAGTCAGGCATGTTAAATTCCCATAGAGTCAGGCAGATTTTTATTTTTAAAGGCCAGTTATTTCATGGATCCAGGATAATATGCATCCTGATAAAGTTCCCTTGGCCTTTGGAATTAAAATATCCCACATCATCACATTCCCTTCACCATACCTAGAGATTGGCATGGTGTTATTTCAGTTAGCCTAATAGCTGGTTTGATTTGCATTGAAAGATGATCTTATGGAAAGTACCCCATGCCAATCTCTAGGTATGGTGAAGGGAATGTGATGATGTGGGTCTATTTTAATTCCAAAGGCCAAGGGAACTTTATCAGGATGCATATTATCCTGGATCCATGAAATAACTGGCCTTTAAAAATAAAAATCTGCCTGACTCTATGGGAATTTAACATAGGGGGAGCCTGACTTATGCACCCTGTATTTTAAGGAAGAACATTTATTTATTTATGATACATTATTCATACACAAAGAAAATTGGTGTCCTTAAAGGTTGGATTTTTCCTCATTTTTCTAATTAAGGCATTAAGATCAATTTCCAAAAGATGATTTTTTATTCCTCTTTTTAGGCAACTTTAGCATGGGGGTAATAACTTATTCACACCACTGTACATTTACATTTTAATAAACGCTTGTCCATTTGTGGAAATGTCACATAAATCCACTCTGGATTTGAAATTTGAAAAATGAAAATTTTGTCATCATTTACTCACCCTCAAATTGTTCTAAACCTGTATGAGTTTCTTTCTTCTGTTGAACACAAAAGAACATATTTTGAAGGATGTGGGAAACCAAACGGTTGCTGGTACTCACTGACTTCCATAATATGAAAAGAAAAAAAATACTATGGAAGTCAATGGGGACCAGAAACTGTTTGGTTACCCACATTCCTTTAAATATCTTCTTTTGTGTTCAACAGAAGAAAGAAATCCATCCAGGTTTAGAACAACCTGAGAGTGAGTAAATGATGACAGATTTGTGGGTGAACTATCCCTTTAAGTCTTCAGAAACATAAATTCACTGGACTACCAATTTGACTACAACATATACCAAATTGAATGCTACTTTTGTCTGTCACTATTGAACTGTTTCCCCCTGAAACTGAATCCAAACACACTGTGTGTGCAGTTTCTGCGATTGTAAAAGCGCATGAATATTCTGAGACAGGTTTCTGATTCTTTGAATTCAAATCCCACGATTAAGTGCAGTCTAAATGTTTTAAACTTCCAATTTGATTGAGATTCTAGCATTTACAGATTTGGAGAGAACATACGATAAATATTTTTTCTATTTATGGATCTGTGGTAAGCATCTTATGGCTGAGCACCCTCATCGAGCTTTTTGCCTGCTGGATGTTCACACTTCTTGTCAAATTCTTGCTGAACATTTTACACATTATCAATTTCTCCGTTACATCCGGCAAAGCAAGTCAAGCAACCTGCCTTTTTTAGCCAATACGGGGAGGTGCGGAAGGTTGAACCCCCGGCTGTGGGTCCCAGGGAGTCTGTACGGTACGGGTGGGGAAGATTCAGCCCCAGGTACAGTGCAAATGGCTGGGCGAGAGATTCAGCAGCGTGCCTGATCCACTGGACCGCAGCGTCAGTGATGTTCCAGTCTTTAGTCATCACCCTCTTTGTGGACGTATCACCCACCAGATTTGTGACCGGACGGCCCTCCTGTCTCAGCAGGAATGGAACGTCTCTGGTCCACGCCTCCACACGATTACTGAACAGAGGTGTTTACAGAAATCATTACTAACAACATGTGTAGTAGACAGTATTGAAATACATTTTGCCTTCAATTTGAACAGGATTGTGTAATCATTTTTAAAGCATGCTAAAAATGTTTTGCATGAAAAGTGTACTTTAGCTATCTTTCAGAAAAATAAATACCACTTGTTTAGATATTTTATCAAAAGTATTGACAGTCTTACATTACAGGTTAAAAGTTTGGTGTCAGTAAGATTTTTTAAAGAAACAATTAAGCAAGGATGCATTAAATTGATCAAAGGTGCAGTAAAGACTTTAATAATGTTACAAATGATTTCTAGTTTAAATAAACTTTGTTCTTTGAACTTTCTATTCATCAAAGAATCCTGATAAAATATATCATGGTTCCCAGTCTTCCCACAAATCAAAATCAACTTATTACAATGATTTCTGAAGGATCATGTGACATTGGAGACTGGAGTAATGATGCTGAAAATTCAGCTTTGCCATCACAGGAATAAATTAAATTTTAAAATAGAAAACAGTTATTTTAAATTACAATAATATTTCACAATATTATTGTTATTACTTTATTTTTGATTTTTTTTTTTTTAAATGCAGCCTTGATTTCTTTCATAGACATTGTAAAACCTGACCAACCCCACACTTTTGAAGGATAGTTTAGTGTGGAGCTGTCCGAATATATGTTTGGGGCTACACAAATGTCACCTGACAGAGTGATCCCCTGACGTGTAGTCTAGTTTCCCCATGCTATGAGTGTGATATCCACTCTTTCCTAAGAGGTCCATCCATGTAGTGGCATTAGGATCAAGACATTTATAGTTGTTCCAGGCCTGAGTCAAATGAACAAACTGTCCACTCCACATAGCTGCCAAAACAAACGCACATTTAGGGACATCAATATGTTTAACTTACCTTGTTTCTGTAATGGAGGTGCACTATCAATAGAGGCTGAGTAATACTCTACCTGCCCTTGAAGGACAACAGATGGGTGAATTAGTATACGAGTTGAGAAAAACAGCACCCATTCCCCTCATGTAGTTGATGTAAGGCATCTGTACAACTTTATTGCCTGGTTGAAAAGTTAACCTGCCATCCTTGAGAAAACAAAAGTCAAGACACAGATTGTTTTAAAACGCAGAATATGCGTGTACTAGTTATCCAGCTCTTGAGGTTTTGAAACAAGTTAAAATGACTGGAAAGTTAGTAAATATGCACAGTTGAGAAGTAATTTAATGTATTATAGTGTAAAATCAATAACTTACGAAGGCATCAGACATGAGTATAACTATGTTTGGTCTGTCATGTGATGTCCAGTTCTGATTCATGCAGTGAGCGTTCATATGAACAATCAACACTAATAACACACGGAACATGAGCATGTTTCTAACGTTACATCCAGACGACAGCAGTGTCTCGAAAACGACTTTTAAAGACGACGAAGGTTTGAAAATAATCTGGTTTTAAGGCCGTTCTAGTTTAGTTACTATGTTCACTGTGTATCTGTAGCAAGTACGTTTTAAAAGAATTTGCTTCATCTTTTCCTTTTCCGTAAACAATCACAAACCGCCCCCTACTGGACATCACATTAATACTGCAGTAGGCAAATTCACGAGTGCTCCCATAAAGGAAATGCACTAAATAATGTAATATTCTATTTTATTACATACGGTATTCTATTTACTTAAATAGAAACATTTTATTTTAAATTGTAATAGTACATATCCGTAAATTTTCCGTATAAAAAAATGCAGCCTTGGTGAGCATCAGACTTCTTTCAAAAACAACTGAGAAAAAAATATACCAAAGAGAACAAATACTACAACATATTCTTTAATTTGCCACAGCACAGCAACAAGTATTTGGGAGGAAATGTGTTAAACTGCCATGATGTCACAGTAAAAATAACTAGTTCCTAAATTATGAAGAATTAGTCTTTGTGGTCCTACATTTCATGCAATACATTTTTTTTTTCACCTTTTGATTCTGAGGTAAAATTAAATGTTTTATTTCAGTTTTACATAATATGGTTTTCCATTTCTTTACAGAGCCACATTCACATATAAAATTGGGTCACCCCATTGTATAAAAGGAACAAATTATCTTGTTATTACTTAATTAAAATAATACAGAAGAATGTTTTTAAAAGGAAGATAAAAACATCTTTGAATCGAAGCAATTGAATCGAAGCAATTCAAGCGTATGAAATGTTACAAGTAAACACACATAATATATCCAGATAAACATTTATTTCCACAGAAACTACTGCCAGATCCTAGACAGCCCATTTTTCTGTCCTTAGTTCCAATTTTTTGACGAGACCCTCCCCGATGATGCGGAAATCCTGCAGGATGGCCTCTATGTTTGGCACGGTGGTTGCCACATCTCCGTTCACCTCCACACGGCGGGCATTCATTAAAGATGTCTGAGAACAGAGAAAATCAGGAGAGTCAGGACGCGCCAAAAATCTTAATTGTGAGCCAATTGACTTAAATTCTGCCAACCATAGTCAGGGTCATAGTAAATAAAAGCTAAAAAGAATAATAGAGGAACCTTGAAGGGTTGCGGCTCGAAGGCAGTTGGCTTCCACAGCACTGCGATCACGGTTCCACCAAATGGGTCATAAAAAAACAGAGCCAGATCTCCAAATGCATCCTAAAAATCCCAAGAGAACTGGTATAAGATGGATCTGACATACCAAGGGTATTTAAAAGTCTATCAGGGCATAATGGGAAAATATTCAGTAAAATTGAATTAAAAACTACACAAACCCTGAGTTCAGAGAGATACAGTCGGGCCGGATCATAGTCTATGACTGGCAGAGCTCCTCCTGAGGCGGATGGCTCACCTCTAAAGGTGCCTTTTTGGAAGGTGATGGCAGGAGGATCCACAGCTTTAGCTAACAGAGGAACCTGCTGTGGAACGAGGTGGATCAGAACATCATAATCCTCCAGAGGAGGTCGAAATGCCACCTAGAAACGAAGAAAGAAAAAAGTGAGGTTAAAGACAAAAAGATGACAGTTGCATACATTTGCAGAATAGGCTATATATAGAGGAACTGACCCGGATGTCCTGCTTTTGACTGGAGTCAATAAGATGAGTCTCTAAAACACGCAAACTCTCTGCTGCAAGCATGACAGCACGCTGAAGCATCTGTGAGGAGGAGACAGCACCAGTTATATTTACTGTACATATAACACATCTATAGCATAATACAGTCATTTAGAACACTACTGCATTTACAAACCTGCACAGAAGGAGCCTTTTTAGTCCACACAGAGACTTTCTTGTCAGTGGGAGTGGCTATGAACATGGTGGGAAGAGATTCTCTAGAGGCCACAAAGTCATTCTTTATATCTGTGTGGTCAGCAGCTGAAAAATAAAAATACTCATTTCAGTATCCACAAATGTTTTAACGCATGAAAAGACAATTAGTCCTGCTACTGGTCAATGTGTTAGGTCTGTGTCGACTAGTTGTGGATCAAATGACTTCAGTTGTGCTTGTTCTACACATGTCAACAGCAGAAGGAAAAATCATTGGTCCAAGTGCAGCTGTGAGACATTTGTGTAATAAACTATATTAAAGTGGTAAAAAATGTGAATGTTCATAATTTTACACTACCGTTGAAAAGTTTAGGGTCATTTTTTTGTGTGTGGAAGAAATAAATACTTTTATTCAGCAAGTAAAAGTAAAGACATTTATGTTACAAAAGATTCCTGTGGAATAAATCGGTATTTAGAATTTTCTAGGGATGATTGATTATGGAAAAAAATCATAATCACAATTATTATTGGTCAATATTGAAATCACGATTATTTAACAATTATTTGTGGGCGATAGAATTTAAGTCTTATTTCACAATACGAGTAATTTTTAATATCAGTGAAATTTCACAATTATCGATACTTCAGAAAAAAACTATTACCGGTACTAAGTTAACTAATATAAGAAAAAGGTATTAAAAATAATTACATAAGACAAAATGGACAAATAAATACAACAGAATGAAAATGCAAATGAAATAAACAGTGTTTTAAGTTTTTTAGGAAAATGTACTAACAGTGGTATTCAGATAAGTAATGGCCTACAACACTACCAAAAAAATCAAATATTCAAATGTACTGTACACATGGAATATAGAGTAATCCTTTATAAAACTACTTAAGTTATTCAGTCAAGATCAGTGAGTGACTTTCCTTTCATTTGTAGTTGATTATAACTAATGACATACTGAAGCAGGTATATTAGGCTGCGGTCACTTTAAGAGCTAATGCATGGATCCAGTATACTGATACACATGCGTTTCTTTCTCAGCGGTGTACGTTTACTTATGAGATAACCCACGGTTTATGCGAGTACTCTCCAAAAAGTGATTTTGACATTTTTGTGCGTACACGTTTAGGCGCGTTTCCAAAGCCCATTTGGTTATCTGTGTTTGGCTCCAAGTCAGTGCATGCACACAGAAAGCTGCCTGGGGAACAGTATCTCTTTTGCGGCTTAATGCCCTTTTTAAAAACACTGTTTAATATCAAACACGTCCCGCAGTTTAGCAACAGTAGACTGCATTTTACAACATTTATTTGGCTGATTTGGATGTTAAGTTTGGGCTTTTAGGGAAGAACGAATGCACACTGCTGTGAAGGAAAGGAAGCGGCACAATAATCCTTTAACCATGATTATCTTGTTTTCATAACCGTTGGAAGCCAAAATTGAAATTGAAAATCAATTCCGATTAATCACACAGCCCTGTCCTGAAAAAAAGTATCACGGTTTCCACAAACATATTAAGCAGCACAAATGTTTTCAACCTTGATAATAATAAGAAATGTTTCTTGAGTACCAAATCTGAAACTTTTGAACGGTAGACTATATTAGCAAAAAAAGAAAAATATTCTAAGTGAGCCATGGACTTATGAGATAGTCTGAGTTCATCAACCACCCTGCAATGAATCAAGTGGCGCCTTGTAAAGTCAGACTGAAACAAGCAAGTGAGATATGACTGTTTTTTTTTGCACTGTTCACAACAATAATCAGTAGACAGGCATAAACTCTTCTTTGTTCTTCACCCATGACTTGTCAGAAACAGTATTTATAGCAGAAACTTCAATTATATAAGGTACACACTGACCTGCTGACTAGTTAGGGCTGGGACGATACATCAATGCATCACGATTCGATTCCAATTTTTACCGAATGCATCGCAAATCGATTCTGAGCTTAGTTTTGAACAGCAAATGGTGCTCTAGGCAAAATTTTAACCGCACACTCAAATGCTCACGAAGAAGAGCACTAAAAAGTGCTTGTGTGTTCGGCTGATTCTGAGAATGTACACACACCTCAGAATGCTTTTATGACGCGAGATTAATGTAAACAGCCCACTGCAAACACCCCTGTAATTCGCTTCAACCTTTACAACTTTATGAATGATTATTTTAGAAGGTTCAAATGGTGTGTGTCAGGCATTGGAGGCAGGCAGATTACGGTTGTTTCTAGAGCACGCAGTGCCATCTGCTGTTAAAAAATAAACTCAGAATCCATTTGAGAGAGAATCGCGATGCATTCGAGAAAAAATTGAATCAATTCAGAATCATTTCTCGATTCACGATGTATCGATTTATTGTCCCAGCCCTATGAACAGTTGGCAAATATTTGTAAAAATGAGTAGTCGTGCAATCCCTAAAATAAACCAATGGTGAAATACCCAAGATGAAGCTTACCTGTGAGTTTCCCATTGAGGTTGACTATCAGGGGATTGTTTTTCCAGTCAAAAGTGGAAAGCAAATGAAGGAAGCGAAGGAACCCCACCTGAGGAGAGCTGGAAAAAGTGTGGCGTCACTGTATATGTATACAATAAAATAATTAATAAATTAATGAGCCAGAGGACCATATTACCTTGGTGGAGTGAAGGGTGCAGGATGTAGGAAAAGTGAAGCCACCAACAGGTCAGCTGCTTCCTCTTGGATATATTCCAAAAGGAACTGAGATGCCAGCCAGCGCTTAGCCAGGCGGCACACGACACCAAAACACCCAAGCTGCTGCTGGAGCCTAACATGTAACATGTCAAGTTATCTATTTATCTAAACAAGCCACTTGTCAAAAGGCCGAATCAAACGAGTGTATCATGCATGTTTATGTATGCGTGTTGTACCCATGCAAGGTGCTGGTTAGGAAAGGTTTATGCTGAGTCTCCAGCTCCAGCGCCTGGGCCTCAGCGTTTTCCCTGTAGATCAGCATTCCCTCAGGGGTCAGGCTTTCCCTCAGGATCTGCGGTTCTCTGTGATATGCCACCTGGATTCGGAAGGCTAGCCCATCCTGAACGGATACATACATAAAGTATGATGAAATTATGTGCTCATAACTCCATAGGGACTATTATTACTATCATAAATGTGAAAAACAACAGCAACGTGCACAAATTACCTTATACACATCCAGGTAGGCAGGTGTTGCATGACATTTGTAATTGTGGTGCTTGCAAAGCAGTTCTCCCAAGCTGATGTG